GGGGAGAAGTCCACTACAATACTCCCCCTTCCCTCCAGGTGGTGTAGGAGACTTGTTGTCTGTAGAGTTGCTTAGCACATGTGAGGCAGACCGGGCGGTGCATGCCTCATGTGAGACAACGGCGATGGCGTGATGAGCCGATCGCTGAAATACAACTGTCTAGATACACACTATCTGTGGGAGAAGGGAGAAAAAGGGTGTGTGGAGGCGATGAATGTTGTGCTTCCCTCACGACAGGTACAGGGTCGTCAGATGCGCCTGCTGGGGTGTGTGGGCCTGGGTCAGGAGCAGGGGCTGCGTCAGCAGAAGCGGATAAGGGCTCGTGACAGCAGCTGGGTCCACGACAGCAGCAGGGTGCAGGACATTAGCAGGGAGTACCTGAGGGAGAAAAGAGGGGTGTGTGTGGGCCCGGATTCAGGAACAGAGGCCGCGTCAGGGGTTACTGCTGGGCCGGGGTCGGCGTCTGAGGCAGGACGGGTGTGCTGGTGTCGGTAGGATGTGGTGCTTGGGGCAGGAAGAGGAGCTGGTGTCTGCTTAGAGTAGCAGAGCTGCTTCTGTGTGGATAAGCCATTCTTCTATGCTGCTTGAAGACTGGGAGCGTGATCAGTGTCTCCTCCATCCTGTGTGAGTGCTAATCTCCGGGAGTCACCATTGTAGGGGTATCGATGTATTAATGTTGTCTAGCACTCAGGATGGATGGAAACTCTAAGGTGGTTTTCTTGTATAATATAAGTTATATGAAAGACAGTCTGGTGCTGGAGGTGCCGTGTGGTGGGGAGCTGCTCAGTAGAGACGTTCGGTGAGTAGCGTGTTGAAGGAGGTAGATGTGCAGGAGCTTCGTTAGAGAAGATGTTGCCTGTTGCTGGCCTCCTGGTTGAATGAATGCTGACAGCATGGAGCTTGCTGGAGGAGGTGTTGCTTGTTCAGGAAGATGGGCAGAATGAGAGCTGGTTGGTGAGGAAGCTCAGAGAAGGACAGCTGGTGGGTCGCCATGCTCGCTGGCGGGAGCGAGGACCGCCAGGCAGGCGGAGGAGAGGCGAGGGCCGCCAGGCAGCGGCGGAGGAGGTGTTGCTTGTTCAGGAAGATGGGCAGAATGAATCTCAATGGAGAGACAGAGCTTATATACCCAGCAGCCGCGAGTCCTCTATGAGTCATGTTGGGAAAACCCGAGAAAGTCGCTGGTCTCTAGTTTCGTTGCTAGGTTACCGTAACATCTGCTGTCGTCGCTCGCTTGGTTGCTAGGATACGGCGGCGCATCGGAATGCTGATACGCAGTTGTAGGGGAGAAGTCCACTACACAGTCATGCACGTCAACACTTGTAGTATAACGTAAACTAAGTACACTACGTAGTGAAATACATTACTTGACATTTTCGTGAACTTCTAACACACACACGAGCTACAATATGTTACAAGCGGCGGAAGGTGACTTGGATCTCAGGCCGGACGAGACGAGAAGAGAAGGTGTCTCTCGACCAACAGCCTCGTGGACACGCTTGAGTATTGGCTGTTGGTCTCCCTTGCTGGACGGACGTGTTGCAGAATAGTTAGTGGTGTTCATTAACTTATTCTGTATTTTTTCATAATTCAGGCCTATTACAAACCTGTCTCTTAGAGCTCGGTTCAAGAACTGTCCAAAGTTACAGTGAATGGATAACTTCTTCAAAGCTACTATATAATTACTTACTGATTCATCTTTACCTCTATCTCTGGTGCCAAATCTGTAACTTTCAGCGATCTCAAGTGGAGCAGGATCAAAATGTTGCTTCGGAATCTTGGTAATCTGAATCAGTGAGGAGTCTTTGGGTTTGTCTGGAGTAAGCAGATTGACCAGAGTAGAATAAACGTTAGCTCCTACCTCTGTCAAAAAGATTGCTTTCTTTTTCTTCTCAGCATCACCACCGTCGTCCATTAATTCATTTGCCAGAAAGAAGAAGTCCATTCTCTCACAATATGATGTGAAATCTTCCTTGTCTGCATCATACTCCCCCACTCGTCCGATGTATCCACTGACGCCAGCCATGGTTGCTCTCTTCACTTAAATTCTCCAGGTTCAGAGTAGCCTTCCCTTCAGTGGTCACTATCCTCTCTTCAAGGACTTCACCAACACTTTGTGAATCCCATCCTCGTCGCCAGTGTAGTATCTTGCGTTATTTAATGGGAGAATGAAGAGTCACATGGTCTGTCTGGCTCAGCGTTTATTCTCTGTTCTTGGTTACAAGGTGCCTAGCACATTTCGTGTTTACACAAGCCTTAACACTTTCTGACTTTGGCAAGAAGTAACATAATATATAACACCGGCCAATACCTTATAGTAATCCCGGAGGTAAATTTCGCCACGATTTATCCTTCTACCTATAGCCTTCCTTTGGCCAATAATGTTCTTTAAATAATTATTTATCCATTTAGGGTCATTGTTGTCTGATCTGAGTTTTCTGTATAGTATGTTTTGCCTTTGTGCATTAAGTAACTCGTTATTTAAATTGTCGTGGAACTCGGCAATCTCAGATCTCGTTAAAAGGTCGGTGTCAGCCGTCAGGTTCATGGGTGGGGTGAGGTCGGTGCAAATAAAGAAACCAGATATCAAATGAACAACGTTGTTATAGAGAAATCCGACTGTGAGAAAGACTTAGGAATATTGATAAGTAGGAATCTTAAACCAAGACAACAATGTGTATTTGCTTGAAACAAGGCTAACAAAGTACTTGGGTTCATACAAAGGCGTGCTAGTTACGAAACTAGCGAGGTTATCCTAAAACTTAACTTGCTCTTGTGAGACCTCACTTGGATTGCGCGGTTCAGTTCTGGTTACCTTATTACAGAATGGATATAGAATCATTAAAAAGAATTCAGAGGAGAATGACAAGACTAATCCCGGGCATTAGGAACCTTGAGTATAGAGACAGGTTAAAGCATCTTAATTTGCACTCCGTCGAGAGACGTAGAATGAGGGGCCATGTGATCGAGGTGTATAAATGGAAGTCAGGGCTAAACAAAGGTGATATAACAAAGGTACTCAAATTATCCAACCAGGAACGAACTCGGAGCAATGGCTTTAAATTAAGACAAATTTAAATTTAGGCGCGAGATAGGTAAACATTGGTTTGTAAATAGAGCAGTGGATGAGTGGAACAAGTTACCAATCATCATCATTAACTCGAATACGCTGGATAGCTTTAAACATACAATAGGTTGGGTGTAAACGGGACTGCCCAGTATGGAACAATAGGCCCCCCGCAGTTTCCTCCATTCGTATGTTCTTATGCACAGAACAGTATTTTGTTACCTTGATTGTATTGTATTTAATCACAGCGTTTATAGAGCTTTTCATATGCCAAACAAATACTGGAGGTTATGAGCACAAACGTGAAGCTTTCATCGTTTTAATTGTTTGTATATTAAATACACCTGGGTCTGTGTGTACTAGTTCACTTCGCTTTCAGCAGATCCGAGAGTGGCAATCCTTTTTTTTTAATTGTGTGCAACTTTTTGTATTGAAGGAGTGAAAGTGTGAGAATATCTGTTGTAGAAGAGTTAAATACATTTACTTGGGGTTTAAATTTTGTATGAAATTACTCTTATGTGGAAGCTATTGTTTGATATTTTACTCTTTATAATAACATTAATAATAATAATAATAATAAGTATTATTATTATTATTATTATTATTATTATTATTATTATTATTATTATTATTATTATTATTATTATTATTATTATTATTATTATTATTATTATTATTATTATTATTATTATTATTGCAGAGTAGCCGAAAGTTTAAAATATTCATTGGACACAAATGAGACCGTATTAGGTATAAGGTCATTGGGGAGTGAAATGTTTAATAAAATCTTTCAGAGCAAAAATTAGATACGGACTGAACATAAAGGTTATATATGACTTGCTAATTAATTGGTGTTGTGGAGGATAACACGTGATTGTAGTACTTCCCTCTCTGGTGATGTAGAGAGACCTTGTCGTAGTACTTCTCTGGTGGTGAGATTAACATTGTAAACACTGCCGTGACGATAGGTATAAATTATAGTCGGAGAGATAGCAATTACAGTCGATATGATCAAAAGGATAGTAGTCGGCATGAAAGAATTCAAAAGCCCCTTGAATGGACGGGGCACAGACCAAGGTGATAAAGGAGGTGGTAAACGAAATTTGCGCTCCAATAAGACTCTTATTTATTCAGGAAATCCTTGGATCTAGGTAAAGCGCCTAGGAACTGGAAGTTATCCAACGTCACCCCAGTGTACAAGAAGGGTAGGATCTATAACATCCCCAGAAAGGTGCAACACAGAGCGACAAAGATGATTCCTGAACTATGTCATTTCGATTCTCTTAGTAGACTGAGGGTCTTAGGACTAACAACCCTTCAGCCAAGGTACAATAGGGCAGATCTTATTGAAACAATCAAGATGCTTTAAGTGATGGAAAGCGTCAACCCGGGACATTTCTTTGTTATGTCACGCACCAACAACACGAGAGGATATAACTAGAAGCTGGCCAAGTTATCATGCTGAACGAACATAAGGAAATACTTAACTCAGAGGCTGGTAGACCTATGGAACGGTCTATCAGCCCAAGCTGTGGTGGTAGACCTATGGAACGGTCTCCCAGCCCAAGCTGTGGTGGTAGACCTATGGAACGGTCTCCCAGCCCAAGCTGTGGTGGTAGACCTATGGAACGGTCTCCCAGCCCAAGCTGTGGTGGTAGACCTATGGAACAGTCTCCCAGCCCAAGCGTAGAGGTGGCCATGTAAGCATAGATGTGGACATCCAGACCATCTCTAAGGTGGTACCACCTTGGAGACACCGCTTCTTGTCCGATCAGGGACGTTAAGCAACGTTGGGTCTGGTTAGTACTTGGATGGGTGACCACCTGGCCCTAAGAAAACCAAATACTGCTGACATAAGGACTTTACTGGAAATAGAGGATGTCAGCTGCCCTTTGTCAAATTAACTGAATATCAATTATTAATATTAAGGTTAACTATGCATCATACAGTGGGCGGAGGTTCGGCAGGGTGTGTGGTGGCGGCGAGGTTGTCAGAAGTGGCGGGGTGGCGGGTACTGGTGGTGGAGGCTGGTCCCCCACCGCCCCTCAGACATACTTACCGGTGATCAACGTCTTCGTCTCCGCCATCTCCAACTACACCCTCAACTGGGACTACTCGTTGGTCCCACAGACACAAGCTTGAAGAACTACATGAACCAGGTATGTTGTGTTTGTGTACTATAGAATCTTTCTACACTATCACGTCTCCTTCACCATCCTCACGCCACTTGAGTAGACCAAGTATAACCCTCCCTTCTCTCCTCCTCACCCCCCCAAGGCAGGGACATTGGAACTTGGGCGTGTGGTCGGGGGCACCGGGACCATTAATGGCCTGATTTACGCTAGAGGCAACAAGCATGACTTGGACCAGTGGGCGGCCCTGGGGAACCCCGGCTGGGACTACCTCTCCGTCCTTCCATACTTCATCAAGGCCGAGGACTATCCCGGCTCACTCCCTCATACGGGTGATGACTATTAATATTTATTATTAAGTGAACAATATACAATATATAACACTAATGTTAAATAATCTTTTTCATATGTAATTCACCACAATTCACCACAAATCACCATAATTCACCACAAATCACCACTCGCCACCACTCTCACCACCAATCTCACTATCACTCACCATCACTCGCCACAACTCACCACCACTCGCCACTCTCACCACCATTCTCACAACCACTCACCGCCACAACTCTTCACCACGTCTCATCATCACTCAACATCACTCACTATCACTCATGACCACTTTGCATTACTCACCATCACTCATCACCATTATTCATCACTCACCACCACTCATGACCACTCATCACCTCATCATCTCTCATCACCACCACTCACCACCACTCATCACCTCTCGTCACCATTCACCAACTCACCACCACTCATCACCTTCTCATCACCTCTCATCACCATTCACCAACTTTCACCACCACTCATCACCTCTCATCACCATTCACCAACTAACCACCACTCATCACCTCTCATCACCACTATCACCACTCATCACCTTCTCATCACCTCTCATCACCATTCACCAACTTTCACCACCACTCATCACCTCTCATCACCATTCACCAACTAACCACCACTCATCACCTCTCATCACCACTATCACCACTCATCACCTCATCATCACCTCTCATCACCTCTCATCACCTCATCACCTCCTCATCACCACTCATCACCCTCATCACCATTCACCAACTCACCACCACCACTCACCACCTCTCATCACCTCCTCATCACCACTCATCACCTTCTCATCACCTCTCATCACCTCCTCATCACCACTCTCTTACAATACCATGTCAACTTTGCCCCAGGTTCGCCTTACGGCCGGGAGGTCCACTGGCCATCACCCCCGGGACGGTAGGGTCTCTCACCAGGTCCTTCCTACACGGGGGTCGAGAGCTGGGCTACCCCGTCCACGACAGCAACGGTCCTCAACACATAGGTAGGTCTCCATCCTCTCCTTTATATGGTACAGTACCACGTGTGTGTTGTACAGTACCACGTGTGTGTTGTACAGTACAGTACTGGTACAGTACCACGTGTGTGTTGTCTGGTACAGTACCACATGTGTGTTGTCTGGTACAGTACCACGTGTGTGTTGTCTGGTACAGTACCACGTGTGTGTTGTCTCCTCTTCCTCCAGGCTTCTCACCAACACACTTCAACATACGTGATGGTGTGAGGTGTTCAACGGCAGAGTGCTACCTGAAGCCAGCCTCCTCCAGACTCAACCTCCACATCCTCCACAGCACCACCGTCCTCCAGGTGAGTTGTTGAAGCCTCCAGTATCACCGTCCTCCAGGTGAGTTGTTGAAGCCTCCAGTATCACCGACCTCCAGATGAGTTGTTGAAGCCTCCAGTATCACCGACCTCCAGGTGAGTTGTTGAAGCCTCCAGTATCACCGACCTCCAGGTGAGTTGTTGAAGCTTCCAGTATCACCGACCTCCAGGTGAGTTGTTGAAGCCCAGTATCACCGTCCTCCAGGTGAGTTGTTGAAGCCTCCAGTATCACCGTCCTCCAGGTGAGTTGTTGAAGCCTCCAGTATCACCGACCTCCAGATGAGTTGTTGAAGCCTCCAGTATCACCGACCTCCAGGTGAGCTGTAATAATTGCAATGGTAATTTCTATCAATGTGACAAAAAAACTTTTGATGATTTTAAAGTTTTATGACACATCTAACGCTCCTCTAACACAGCTGAGGCTCCTCTAACACAGCTGAGGCTCCTCTAACACAGCTGAGGCTCCTCTAACACAGCTGAGGCTCCTCTAACACAGCTGAGGCGCCTCCAACACGGCTGAGGCGCCTCCAACACGGCTGAGGCTCCTCCAACACGGTTGAGGCTCCTCCAACACGGTTGAGGCTCCTCCAACACGGTTGAGGCTCCTCCAACACGGCTGAGGCTCCTCTAACACGGCTGAGGCTCCTCTAACACGGCTGAGGCTCTTCTAACACGGCTGACAGGAGAGCATTGTAACAAAACATGACAGATGTTAAGGTGTACTGCTACCGTCAGACACACAACCTTTACACTGTTACAGGTCGTGTTCAACTAGGGGAGGAGAGCGAGCGGCGTAAGGCTTGAACACCAAGGGAAGGTAAGTCAGAGTTAACAACGTATCTTTGACCAAAATGTATCAATATGACAATGGACGAAGGATTTTGACAACACTACCGAGACAACAGGAGTCACAGTGTTCATTGTGGCATTCCTCAACCCCCTCCGTGAAGGTACTTTTCGGGGCGATTAAGTTTCTGCTGATTACATTTGATTTTTCCTTGTTAAAAAACATTTAGCTTGACAAAAAAGTAACACGGCTACTCTAATTCAAAAGGTGTGTGCGTGTTGTACCATTACTGTACACTCTAGTTCAGAAGGTGTACAGTGCGTGTGTTGTACCATTACTGTACATTCTAGTTCAGAAGGTGTACAGTGTGTGTGTTGTACCATTATTGTACAAGCTAGTTCAGAAGGTGGTGTACAGTGTGTGCATTCCTGTTAAGGTGTTGACTGTGAGGGCGCGGCGAGAGGTCATACTGTCTGCTGGGGCCGTCAACTCTCCCAAGATCTTGATGCTGTCAGGTGTGGGGGACAGGGAGCACCTCCGCCAGCATAAGGTTAGTGTGACGTTGGTGTAGAATTATCTATAACTGAAGTAATATGTCATATATTGGAGGGATATGACAGGCACTTCTGACTAATAAGTCTGAATATAACGGTGATATGTCAGTACTATAACAATAATATATCAGTATTTAGTAACAGGTGTGTGCGATAGGTGTCGGTAACAGGTGTGTATGTGTGTGACAGATAAGGGTGGTGACGGACCTGCCTGGGGTGGGACAGAACCTACAGGACCACGTGAGTGTGTACGGACTCAGCTGGACGGTGAGGAAGGGTCTTACCAACTCTTTCATTGATGCCCTCAGCCCCCTGTCTCTCAGGCGGTACATCACTGAGAGACAAGGTTAGTATATATCAAGCAGTACCTCAATATGTCCAACACAGATAACACAGTATACACGCCTCATGATGTTAGGATCAGTGTAATAGGTCAGTGTTGGTCAGTAGAGATCACCGGCGCTAGATCACCGGCGCTCGTAAGACGTTCTATTAATTTCTTGTTAAGTCATGTGTGAGGCGTATACCTGGACGTGTTTCAGGGCCTTTGGCCACCTCGCCAGAGCTTGTCAGCGCCTGGGTCAAGTCATCTGAAGAGGGTGACCCAGGCTGGATGGACACACAACTGTTCCTCATCTCGCAGACCTCGGCGGCCGACAAAGGCTTCGTTATTCCGACAAGCTTTGGTATAGACAGATAGGTAAGTCATTTGGCTGAAAGACACCAACTGTCACTTCCTGTCTTCCCACAAGTACTGTACAAACCTTACACCCATCACCTGAAGACCAAGTGAACCAATCACAATTAATACAACGCAATTTGCCATCACTTGAGACACCCTGTATAAGATGGATCACTTGAGACACCCTTGTACAATTTTCTTAATTATCTTTGCAGGCGTATGAGTCGTACTTTAAAGACATCTACGGCCAGGAAGGTTTCACTCTCAGGCCGGGAGCAGTGCGGCCGAAGAGTCGAGGTTTCGTCGCTCTCGGCTCCAGCGACCCTCAACAGCCACCTGTGGACCCAAGGTATCTCTCCCATCCTGACGACGTGAGACTGCTGGTGAAAGATGAGTCTTAGATATGTGTTGTTGGACTACCTGAAGAATAGACACCCCAGAGAGAGAGAGGAGGAGACGTTATAAACCACTATTTATGATCCTTCAGGTATAAACTTGGTACTGGCTCTGGGTAACACTTCGCGCTTCGTCAACAACCTGGAAGCCAAGTTCTACGACAAGGTAAATAATTGCACTTGAACTACCTGCTCCACCCTACACTCCCTCACCCAACGATATATAACTCATGAACATATTCTGCCTCATCATTAAATATAGTGTGTGAAATGATAGAGCTAGAATGTTGTTAATCTTTCATTAATCTTAACTCATACAAGACGTTAAGTAATTACTTTAGTGACCCCAGCCTATAACACACACTGTGAGGCCGACCCCAGCCTATAACACACACTGTGAGGCCGACGCCAGCCTGTAACACACACTGTGAGGTCGACCCCAGCCTGTAACACACACTGTGAGGTCGACCCCAGTAACACACACTGTGAGGTCGACCCCAGTAACACACACTGTGAGGTCGACCCCAGCCACACACTGTGAGGCCGACCCCAGCCTATAACACACACTGTGAGGCCGACGCCAGCCTGTAACACACACTGTGAGGTCGACCCCAGCCTGTAACACACACTGTGAGGTCGACCCCAGTAACACACACTGTGAGGTCGACCCCAGTAACACACACTGTGAGGTCGACCCCAGCCTGTAACACCCACTGAGCATGTAAACACTTAGTTCAGTGTTAAGATTTTACGTCAAGTGAAATAAAGCGAAGGCTAATATTGAGGTAAATTTCTTATATTTGTGTGTGTAGCTAATTACCACTGGGGGAGAGAGGTGTAAGTTGATGAGACTTTGGGGAGTTCTGGATTGGTTCTAACACTTAATGTACAGTTGCGGACAAAACTTGGCTCCTCGCTGTGAAACCGAGTCAAGGGAATGAGTCTCCGAACTGACCGACTTACCCTGACTCATATCTGGTGCAGGTGTTGATACTTGGAACACATCACATTACACATCATATCACATACTCGTATTACTTCGGATATCACATTACACATAAGAATGGAGGAGACTGCAGCGGGCCTATTGGTCCAAACTGGGCAGTCCCATTTACACCCAACCCCTATCGCTCATATATCAATCCAACCTATGTTTGAAGCTATCCAGCGTATTCGAGTTAATGATGATGTTTGGTAACTTGTTCCACTCGTCCACTACTCTATTTTCAAACCAATGTTTACCTATTCCGCGCCTAAATCTAAATTTGTCTAATTTAAAACCATTTTTATGAGTTCGCTCTTGGTTGGATACTTTGAGTACCTTTGTAATGTCCCCTTTGTTTAGCCCTGACTTCCATTTATACACCTCTATCATATCTCCCCTCACTCTACGTCTCTCGAGGGAGTGCAAATTAAGATGCTTTAACCTGTCTCTGTACTCAAGGTTCCTAATGCCCGGGATTAGTCTTGTCATTCTCCTCTGAATTCTTTCTAGGGATTCAATGTCCATTCTGTAATACGGTGACCAGAATTGAACTGCGTAATCCAAGTGAGGTCTCATAAACGCAAGATATAGTTTTAGGATGACCTCTCTAGTCTTGTAACCAACACTCCTTTGTGTGAACCCAAGTACTTTATTAGCCTTGTTTCGAGCAAATATACATTGTTTACTTAGCTTAAGATTTCTGCTTCTCGTTACTCCTAAATCTTTCTCTCATTCGTATTTCTCAATAACAACGTTATTCATCTGATATCTGGTTTCTCTGTTTACATCTCCTAGACTAGGTACTTTACATTTGTCCACATTGAATTTCATCTGCCATTTTTCAGACCATTCGAAAAATTTGTTTAGATCTTCCTGTAGTTTTGCAGAGTCATCGTCAGATTTAAATACACGCCATATTTTAGTGTCATCAGCAAATTTACGTGTGTTGCTGTCTACGCCAATATCTATGTCGCTTACGTATATAATAAATAATAATGGTTCAAGTACTGAGCCTTGGGGAACTACGCTAGCGACGTTACTCCAATCGGATTTAGTGCCGTTAATGCCCACTCGCTGTTTCCTGCCCTGTAACCACGCACTAATCCATTTTAAAATATCTCCTCCAATGCCATGAGCCTCCACTTTTCTTATTAGTCTTACATGGGGGACTCTGCCGAAGGCTTTGCTAAAGTCAAGATATACCACATCATAGTCGTGCCCCCTCGTCCACTGATTCGAAAACATTTGAAAAGAATGTTAATAGATTAGTTAGACATGAACGCCCGCTTGTGAAGCCACGTTGGGAATCATTGATTAACTTGTTGCTTCTCCGGGTGATTTCGAATAGTTTGAAATTATTGCTTCCAGTAATTTGCCTACAATTGATGTGAAGCTGATTGGATGGTAGTTAGAGGATAGTGATCTATCTCCCTTCTTGAAAATCGGTATTACACTCGCTATCCTCCAGGATTCTGGTACTACACCCGTTTTTAAGGACATGTTAAACAAATTTGCTAAGGACATACTAAGCTCTTCCTTACATTCCTTTAAAAATCTGACAAATATCTCATCGGGACCTGGCGACTTATGAGGCTTTAGCTTGTCTATTCGCTTACTAACATCGTTACTAGTGAGGGAAAACTTTTTCGGAGTGAAAGTTGTGAACTCCTGGAACAATCTACCAGAGAGTGTTGTGACTGCACCGAGTGCGAGCTCTTTCAAGACCAGACTTGACCAACACTGGAGCAGGTTCAGGTACATTCAGGAGCCGGTGCATGCCCAGTACTTGTCAACAGTGCGTAACAGAGACCTGACCGATCGCCCAAGCGGCTGACGAGTTGATCAGTGGTGATGAGGATAAAAGTAACTACTATCTCTGTATGGCGTGTTCTGCCTTTGTGCATAAAGTAACTCAATATTTAAATTGTTGTGGAACTGAACTTCATATCTCTTGATCAGGTCATCCTCAACCTTCATATTTTGTGAGGATATCTTTGTCAGGTCTCCAGGTAAAGTGAGGTCGCCCTCTGTGGGTACATTGTGTGAGGTCACCTCACGTGAGGTCATGTAATCCATCCCCAAACGTAATACCCCTTCTCTCAGCTGCCTTTTCATCCTATCAAAGTTTGCCCTTCTGAAATCTGGAACTTTAATGGAATTTCCTTGCGACTGCCATTAAATTCTTATTGAAATCTTATTTCTTTGTGATCGCTGTTAGCAAGTTCGTTCCCTACCTCGACATTACTAATGAGGTTTTCTCTGTTTCACAGAACTAAATCGAATATAATATTACCCCGTGTGGGTTCGGTTATATGTTGGCTTAGGAAACAGTCCTGGATTGTTTCAAGAAAATCCTCTGATTCTGAGTTACCCGTAAGGTCAGTCCAATCTATTTGGCTAAAGTTAAAGTCACCTACTATACAGACTTTGCTATGTCGGGAAGCCCTGCCCATTTCATCCCAATTACGTCATTCATTAACGCTATCAAGATTAGGAGGTTTATATATCACTCCTGTGCTTAATTTTTCCCAGCCATCGATTAATTATATCCAAATTGTTTCTGTATTTAGTTCAGTTTCTATTTCCCTATTTATTTCACATTTCAGATTATCCCTGACATAGATTGCTACTCCGCCTCCTTTCCTAATCTGCCTATCGGTATGGAATATTTTGTAACCTGCAATTTGGTATTCGACAGGTAGCTTATGTGAGTCTAGGTTTATCCATGTTTCAATGAATGCTATTATATCGATTTTTTCGGTACATACCGACTCCCTGATTTCATCCATTTTGTTTCTCATACTTCTACTGTTTGCGTAGTAGACATTTAAGTTAGTCATGTTCTGAGTCCTCTCTTGTGCTCATATGTTCTCCTAGCAGTTTAAAGACTTCAACATCTTTTGAACTGCCCTCTCGAGAGAGTCAGCCAGGGTTGCCACCCCTCCCTAGACAGATGCACCCCATCCCTAGCATAAAGGTCCCTTCTGCCGTAAAGGTTGTCCCAGTTGTCGATGAATTGTACTGATATTGACTCGCAATATCTGTCAAGACGGCCGTTGACACCAACAGCCCTTGACAACCATTCATAGCCAACTCTCCTTCTAGGCAGGACACCACATATGGTAGGGATCCCTCTCTTCAACCTAATACGTTTTATAGCTGTCTTGAACTTATCAAGAAGCTCCTCACTCCTACACCGGCCAATATCATTGCCTCCTGCACCGAGGCAGATAATGGGTCTGTTCCCATTACCAGACAAGATATTGTCCATCCTGTCGACTATATCCCCAGCTCCTGGCAAACACACCCTCATCCTATTTTTATTTTTACTGCAAAAAGCTCTGTCCGGGTACTGTACCTGGGAATCGCCAACAATTAAGGTTTTCGTACTTTCCTTGTCAGCCATGTTCCTGACTATGCTAACGTCCAATTTGTCTATCAAAGGACTAAAAGAGTTTTTACACTAAGATGTTGTCGTTTCCTTGGTGTCTTTTCTCACCACCAGTTTGGTTCGTCCCTCTCCTCACAACCTTCCTTTCGCCCTAGTTTTCGTCAGATACATGCTTTCCTTGTCTCGTGTCTTCCTTCATCCTCGCCAGCACTTCCTTTAATTTTAAGTTTTCTTCTTTGACCTTCACTATCTCGGCCAGTAGCTCGTCCCTCAGAATTGCACAGCCCTGTTTACAAGTAGCACTAGCTATTACCGACAATTTATCCCCGGGAGCTAAGTCTGCCGCGACCTTTCCTCTAGCGAGGTTAGAACACAGTATATAACATAGGATGTGACCCAGTATATAACCTAGGATGTGACCTAGGTTACCCAGGATAATAATTTGCCCCAAGTTTTACTTTTCTGAGACCTTGCCAGCCTATGCCTGGGTGTGAAGGCAAGACTCCCTACAGCGACGCCTGCTGGGTTTGTTACGTACGTCACATGGCTTCGACTGCCCGTCACCTAGCTGGCTCCTGTAAGATGGCGCCACTGTCTGATCCTCTGGGGGTAGTGGACCACCAGCTGAGGTAAGTGTCATGAGGGCAGGGGTAAGATTAACACAGGGATTTTTATGTGTCACGGGGGTTGGGGTAAGGTTGACACACAGGGGAGGTAGATGCAACATGGATGCCTACCAGTCCGGGTTGGCGTTGATTAAATAAATTTGATTTAATCGCTTGATTAGATCAATTTTTTTTCGCCACACATCCTCAATATTGCTAAAGCTTTTCTCCCCAAAAGCTGGGAATGCTGTACAGATGTTGTGAAGCATTTACCCTGACAGTTGCTTCAGTTTATAAGGATTCATTTGTCCTAACTTGAGTACTGCTCTCATATCTGGGGTGGCTCTTCTGTCCAACTGTTAGATAGGGTGGAATCAAAGGCATTTCGTCTTATTAACTCTCCTCTTTTAGTTGATAATCCCTCTTTCCTTTCTCTTCGCCTCAATGTTGCTTCACTCTCTCTCTCTTTTACTGGTATACTTTAATGGGCAATGTTCGGTGGATTTGGTATTCTGTGTACCAAATCCATATATACATATATATATAACTGGAGAAGACTTGAGTAATGAATTATAGTTACGTATAACGTATACACATTATATTGTATTATGCAACGACTAGAAACACGGTGGTGACGTCTGGATTAGTAGCATTTGAGAATTATCCAAATATAGAAAACTATCACCAAGAAAGCAGACTGAGACAGAGAGCCAGTCATCTGTTTACCCAAGTTGTTGCTGTTAATGTTGCGAAAGGCTTTAGAGGAAGAAGATAATTATACTCCACCAATTACCCCCTGAGGAAGGAGTTGAGCGGAAGGAAGTGATAGCGTTAAGCCTCCACTAGTCGACATAGTCATTCACGGTGAAAATACATCCCCTTTCATCTTACTTCATCCAATTGATATATTTTCAATAATCCGTAGCTAATAGCGATATTTATTTGGTCTAAATGATACAGGTTATGACTTGTATAACCGTCTAGTACGTAATGACATGTACAGCAAATGTTTCGATAATAAAAACATTACAAATATTTAAACATACACACACCACCACCAAACACACCCACACACACACGCCACAAAACACACCCACACACACGCCACAAAACACACCCACACAACACACCCACACAACACACCCACACACACGCCACAAAACACACCCACATGCACGCCACCAACACAATTCCCTCATTACTACCACCAAACACACCCATACATTTTCACAAAAACACACCCACACACGCCATAAAACACACCCACACACACGCCACAAACACACCCACGCACATGCCACAAAAACACACCCACACACACGCCACAAACACACCCACACACACGCCACAAACATATCACACACACGCCACAAAACACAATTTGCACACATTAATGCCACAAACATAATGCACACACACGTTGTACATACCCAATATTAATACTTGCCACAAAACACACCCACACACACGCCACAAAACACACCCACACACACGCCACAAAACACACCCACACACACCCCACAAGTGATGACGGTGACTAAGTAGATAAAGCAAAACACTTGACGGTAAGTAGATGGTAGAAAACCTCGTGAGAAATGAAGTATTCTAGATAGAGGTAAAGAAATGCTGCATTTGAAGACTGTGTCGGGGCAGGTGTGTTGGGAGCTATTAATCATGATAACTTTTTGTGTTATCAGCGTCATGTACAGTCACGCAAAAAACAATCTATAAAAATTTTGCTATAAAAAGTGACCAAATTAGCAAAGGAATTTGACAACACTACCGAAACAATAGGAGTCGCAGTGTTCATTCTGAAATTCATTGACATCCCCCCCCCCCACGCAACCCGATGTGGTGGTATTTTTAGGTGATTGTACAGTATGGTGGTTGGGTATTCCTGGGCTTTCTATTGCTGAAGTCATGCCCTTGTATCGTGACAGGGTTCGCGGAGTGGCTGGGTTACGTGTGGTAGATGCATCCATTATGCCCACCATCACTGCTAGCAACGCTCTGGCTCCCACCGTGAGAAGGCTACACATCACATCAAGCACCACTGGGATTTATTCAACTGATTTTATAAAAAGAAAACTGGAATATTCAAGAAACAGTAACTTAAAGATATTCACAGTAGAAGCAAACAAAGTGGTAGTGAATCCCATCAGCCTGATAGCTTATTTTGGGTCAAGGAGACAACGTGACCGACACTGCTCGACCACCTTCACTCTCATTATTGTAAACATTAAGGTACTCATTTACAGCTGGGTGTACCGGATCTACCTGGGGATCGATCCACCCATCCATAGTATAGGAGGCGAGTGCAGTAGTAGATGAAACAAAAATATACGACTAATTGTGAAATGTAAAATATAAAATAAAATTCTAACCACAATATTGTTTTTTTATTTACCTAATATTTACCAGTCAGGACAAGTACTACTGTTGTTAGACTTCAGTTTAAACCTTTCTTAAGTTCTAATTATGTATTACAAGTTTTTTTTATATAAATATCCAACATTGTTCAACCCTTTCTTCCTTTAGCCGTTCCTAATAATAATAAGCGGCATACATCCCAAGAATTGTATTATAGTAATATCCATAATTTTACCCAGTGGGCATTGATGCCCGAGTGGGCGTTGATGCCCGAGTGGGCGTTGATGCTTGTTTTTAGACGCTTTACCACATTGGCATAATAATAAACTTCGGAAATGTTTATTAATAACAATATTGTGTACAAACGGAGGTATTGAGTATAACGTCCACACTACTCCAGTCCTGCTGAAACAAGTGTGACGTGGTGCAGTGGATTAGCCTGGACTGGTTAACAGGTTAGTTCAGTCTTGTGTATTATGTATACAAAAAATAAGTTTACTTTCATTTGTGCCTTGACCCACGCCTTGTGCCATGACATGCACCTTGTACCATGACATGCACCTTATACCATGATCCACGCCTTGTACCATGGCTCACGCCTTGTACCATGACCCACGCCTTGTACCATGACCCACGCCTTGTTATGACATGCACCTTGTACCATGACCCACGCCTTTGTTACGACATGCATTTTGTACCATGACATGCACCTATACCATGCGATCCACGCCTTGTACCATGGCTCACGCCTTGTACCATGACCACGCCTTGTGCCATGACCCACGCCTTTGTGCCATGACATGCACCTTGTGCCATGACCCACGCCTTTGTACCATGACCCACGCCTTTGTACCATGACATGCACTCATACTATGATCCACGTTTTGTACCTTATGGCTCATGCTTTGTACCCCATGACCACGCTCTTGTACCATGACCCACGCCTTGTGCTATGACATGCACCTTGTACCATGACATGCACCTGTACCATGACATGCACCTAAATTATGACTCCACGTTTGTTCATGACATGCACCTTGTAAATACCATGACCCACGCCTTGTACCATGACATGCACCTTGTACCATGACATGCACCTTGTACCATGACATGCACCTTGTACCATGACCCACGCCTTGTACCATGACCCACGCCTTGTACCATGACCCACGCCTTGTACCATGACCCACGCCTTGTACCATGACAGGCACCTTGTACCATGACCCACGCCTTGTACGATGACCCACGCCTTGTACCAGATTACGTACCTTGTACCATACCCACGCTCAAATTATGACTCCACGGTTTTAAAATTATTATGACCCACGCCTTGTACCATGACAGGCACCTTGTACCATGACCCACGCCTTGTACGATGACCCACGCCTTGTACCATGACCCACGCCTTGTGCCATGACCCACACCTTTTGCCATGATAATAGTTTCCGATTTACCAGGAATACATTATCATGGGTGGGTGCGGGCAGGAATGTGGATTTTTGTGGGTGAAGGTCAATTATTCCTTAATTTTGCCCCTGTAATTTTTGGACACTAGATCGTTAACAGGTGATCTACCTCAGAGGGAAGAGAGGACTTGTGTCGTCCCTCCTAAATAGTGACGTTCAGACTCCACTCTCCACCCCTTTCATCAACCCCCTCTCACCTTCCCACCAACCTCCCTCTCGTCGTTCCTCTTCCCTCGCTCTTTAGTGGAGTTGCCAAGATCCGCGATTTTGTGGCAAATGTTTGGAGGACTGAAGACTTTTGGGCTACTATGTGGTGTGAGATATTTACCCACCCACACTAACACCCACACAGACTTCACATGACGTCACCTACTCACCCTTGAGTCACTCATATTCCTGCCATATTTAAATTTGTATGCTTGTTGCCCGTCTTCTCCTCCCCTCCACATTCAGGTTTTTGATCCCGTTCGTGTTCTCCATTTTCTCTGAACCATCTCAAGTTTTAGTTCTCAACAGGGTTTCCTATCTTTCAGTGTAACATCACACACTAATTCTCATGTCAGTTTACTTAAGCTTGCGTCTGTCTTCCTCTTTGTCTGTTTCACTGCCATATATCATCACACTTCTCACGTCAGACTGGGGTACACACATCTTTCCTTTCATACGGAGGGAAGGTCTTGTGGTAGGCAGTAGAGGCAACAGAACAATATGTAACGATATAAATATGTAATATACATCAACACAGTTACGACGTAGTTCACTGTACATTATGAACAACATTGTACAAGTACACTGTCAACCTAACCCAATCACTCAATCTCATGTAATTTATTTAACTAATTAAATTGCCCAACCAACACAAATGACTTACCTACCCGAACCGCTCAGAGATATCTTCAGAGAACAGAAAAACTGAATTTTTCAAAATTAAATCAATCGCATATTAAACATCACGTAACAGGTAAAAAAAAAAAAAAAATTGAGTTGGCATTGAGAACACAACTTTCTAAAATTCGTGTGTGTGTGTGTGTGTGTGTGTGTGTGGAGGACGCTCAGTGTATCAGTGACACACCTGGGGAGTAGCAGCGAGGTAGCTTGTGTTCTGCTCCTGACACCTCGCGTCTGACAGTAAGTGCTGACACACCACATCTAGAACAGGTCGTACATACATAAAGTGTACTAGTAGAAGTCGTAGATACATAAAGTGTACAAGTAGAGGTCGTAGTTACATAAAGTGTACTAGTAGAGGCCGTAGATACATAAAGTGTACAAGTAGAGGTCGTAGACACAAAGTGTACTAGTAGAGGTCGTAGATACATAAAGTGTACAAGTAGAGGTCGTAGTTACATAAAGTGTACTAGTAGAAGTCGTAGATACATAAAGTGTACAAGTAGAGGTCGTAGATACATAAAGTGTACAAGTCGAGGTCGTAGATACATAAAGTGCACTAGTAGAGGTCGTAGATACATAAAGTGTACAAGTAGAGGTCGTAGATACATAAAGTGTACAAGTAGAGGTCGTAGATACATAAAGTGTACAAGTAGAGGTCGTAGATACATAAAGTGTACAAGTAGAGGTCGTAGATACATAAAGTGTACTAGTAGAGGTCGTAGATACATAAAGTGTACTAGTAGAGGTCGTAGATACATGAAGTGTGCTAGTAGAGGTCGTAGATACATAAAGTGTACAAGAAGAGGTCGTAGATAAATAAAGTGTACTAGTAGAGGTCGTAGATACATAAAGTGTACAAGTAGAGGTCGTAGATACATAAAGTGTACTAGTAGAGGTCGTAGATATATAAAGTGTACAAGAAGAGGTCGTAGATAAATAAAGTGTACTAGTAGAGGTCGTAGATACATAAAGTGTACTAGTAGAGGTCGTAAATACATAAAGTGTACTAGTAGAGGTCGTAGATACAAAGTGTACTAGTAGAGGTCGTAGATACATAAAGTGTACTAGTAGAGGTCGTAGATACATAAAGTGTACTACTAGAGGTCGTAGATACATAAAGTGTACTACTAGAGGTCGTAGATACATAAAGTGTACTAGTAGAGGTCGTAGTTACTCTTCCAAAGTTAGTGCATAAGTATTAGATTTGGTGCGGAGTCCTCATCATTCCTCAACTAATTCTGTCAAGATGAGTCTTCGCCTAAGATTACCTCTTGTAGCGACTAACCTTGGCTGACGCCGCCGCTCACTGAACTAAGGCTGGTTTAGTCTTGTGTCTGGGCAGTGGTCGACTGGCGACCTTCCATGCTGGTTTAGTCTTGTGTCTGGGCAGTGGTCGACTGGCGACCTTCCATGCTGGTTTAGTTTTGTGTCTGGGCAGTGGTCGACTGGCGACCTTCCATGCTGGTTTAGTTTTGTGTCTGGGCAGTGGTCGACTGGCGACCTTCCATGCTGGTTTAGTCTTGTGTCTGGGCAGTGGTCGACTGGCGACCTTCCATGCTGGTTTAGTCTTGTGTCTGGGCAGTGGTCGACTGGCGACCTTCCATGCTGGTTTAGTCTTGTGTCTGGGCAGTATCATGGGGACCATCCATGGTTTAGTTTTGTGGTCTGGGCAGTGGTCGACTGGGGACCATCCATGCTGGTTTAGTTTTGTGTCGGGCAGTGGTCGACTGGGGACCATCCATGCTGGTTTAGTTTTGTGTCTGGGCAGTGGTCGACTGGGGACCATCCATGCTGGTTTAGTTTTGTGTCTGGGCAGTGGTCGACTGGGGACCATCCATGCTGGTTTAGTCTTGTGTCTGGGCAGTGGTCGACTGGCGACCATCCATGCTGGTTTAGTTTTGTGTCTGGGCAGTGGTCGGGTGGATATAACCTGCGGTTCCTGACCTAACAGCAGCCAGTTCAGGACCTGCGGTTGTTCACAAAAACTATCAACATTTTATTATTTTCTCAATTTTCACAAAGGTTCAAATGTCCTTGAGCTTCATACGAGACACGTTCCTGGGGGTGACGACCGCAGCCGTTCTGCCCGTGTTGCGGCTCCTGCTGATCAACGTCATAAATGAAGCTGGCCAAGGAAACTTTGAACTGAGCGGCCCCCTCACTCCCTCCTATGACTTTATTATTGGTAAGTACTGTACGTCACTACGGGGAGACCATGGTGGTGGGCGGGCCTGGGGTACAAGAGGTATCACCTGGTGAACTACAGCTTCTAATTGGTCAGTCACTTCTCCAGATAATTTTATTTATTCTGCGTTAATACACGGTGATAATTGTTCCTTAATGCTAGTAGCTATTGCCCGTGTGGTAGACAACAGGGCACTACTACACACCTTTGAAGGGCAGCCAGGTGAGACGCCTCACAGGGTCGGGTTTATGAAGCTACCAGTGTTGCCTGAGAACACCGATCCATTATTGATAAACAGTAGACAGGTGTTAAAAAAAAAAAAATATATATATATATCTATATATGTATATATATATGTATATATATATATATATTCTGTATATATATTTGTGTAATTGTTGGACTGTAATGGGATAATATTTCTGTAAGGAAATATTAGGAGGAAGTAGAGTATATTATGGAGGGAGTGACACAATATATCTCCACACAGTGGGTGGAGGCACTGCAGGATGCGTGTTGGCAGGAAGGTTGTCAGAGGTGGCAGGATGGCGCGTGTTGCTGCTGGAGGCTGGAGGACCGCCACCCCTGGAGACTTACGTCCCAGCCTTCCAACCTTTCGACTTCATTCCGGGTTACAGCGAGGACTGGGGGTACAGTACCGTCCCTCAGAGGTACAGTTCCAAGAACCTCATCATCCAGGTGAGTCACAAGTGACCTCCTAGAGCAGGGGTCACCAAACTTTTTTCACAGTGGGCCGGATAACTGAAAGAATGACGAGCGCGGGCCGCATAATCATTCTGTTCAATACTTGCAAGCCAGAACGAAAGCTTTGGTAACGTCAGAGCGTAGGCGGAGCTACCACGAGCCGGGGAAGGACTTGGGATCCGGCCCGCGGGCCGTAGTTTGGTGACCCCTGTCCTAGAGTATAGAGACGATACAGCATATTACAGTAATATAACTGTTGACCTACACTTAAACACTACTACTATACTTTCCTGTTACTCGGAATCGAGCATGACAATCATCCAGCTATGATACAATGATAATGATATGAGTTATTAAGGCTGTCCCCTTCTATGGCGAAGTCTTGAGGTGACTCGAGAGGCCCATGCGGGACCGGCAGTGTCGTCCACAGATGTTACATATTTGGAGGGCTACAACTAGTGCGGAAGGAGATGTGGCAGCGTCTTTCCAGCGTTGTCGCTTGTCTGCCTCAGTATGCAGTCGTGCTAACTCAATAACATTGATACCTCGTGTGATGCTCCTCCAAGCGTAATGGTGTGGAGTGATCGTCTCCAAGGTGAGGGGTCGATTTGGCACCTTTTCAGGTTTGTCTTAAGACTACCCTTATACCTTTTCAGTTGCCCGCCAACGTTAAGTGACTGTAAAGTAGCTGTTTTGGCATTCTACTATCGTCCATACGGGTAACATGGCCAGTCCAGCGTAGTTTTTCATGGATAATGGTAGCCTCGATGCTCCTACAGCTGGTGTCAGCGAGAGTACTGTCATTTGTTCTCTGGTCTTCCCAGCTAACGGAGGATGGGATGTAGACTACGTTGGTGAAAGTTTTCAAGTGCCTTGAGGTGCCTCCTGTATGTGACCCATGTCTCGCTACTATATAGCAGGGTGGGGAGGACCACTTCTCGATATAAGTACAATTTTGTAGATAATTTCAGCTCCCTACAGCTGAAGACACGGGTACGGAGTCTGCCAAAGGCTTGAGATGCACATCTGATCCGATGTTGAATCTCTTTGTCGATGTCCGCGGTGGTGGACAGGTGGGAGCAGAGATACTGAAAGTGGGTAACATTAGAGCGGGTAGTACCGTTAAGCTGGATGGATGGTGGTGGTGTGGCTGAACCAGGGGCAGGCTGAAAGGGAATCTGACTTAGGTATATTTACCTCAAAGCTGAAGTGTGCATACGAATCTGCGTAGGTGTTCAGGATCTCCTGTAGGTCGCGTTCAGCGTGAACGCCATGGGTGAGGTCGTCTGCATTCTAAAGTTCATTAATGGAAGCTGCCGACACCTTTGTTCCTGCTTGGAGTCGTCTTTTGTTGAAAAGACCACTTTGTCTGGTACTGAATGTCCACCCTGCCGGCTAAATTGGCACTAACACGAGTAAGGAAGGCAACCAAGAAAATGGAAAAAAGAGTTGGTGCCAGTACACACCCTTGTTTTACCTCCGTTTGGATGGGAAAGACTCAGACTGGGTGCCATTGTACAGGACACTGCCGTTCATGCCATCATGGAGTTGCCTCACAATGGCGATGAATTTTGGCGGGCAGCCAAAATGGTTGAGGGTCCGCCAGAGGGCTTCCCTGCTGACCGAATCGAAGGCCTTGGTTAGGTCGATGAAGGCCATGTACAGGTCACGATGCTGTTCTCTGCACTTGTCCTGTATCTGGCGGGCAACAAAGATCGTGTTAATGGTTTCACGTGATGGTCTAAAGCCACATTGAGATTCTGAGAGGAATTTTTCCGCCTCAGGAAGAAGTCTGTTTAGGAGGACTCCGGCGATAATCTTGCCAGCTACGGACAGCAGTGAGATCCCGCGGTAGTTGCCGCAGTCTGACCAGTCTCCCTTGTTCTTATAAATATGGACAATAGAGGCGTCTTGAAGAGCTTGGGGGATTTCTTCCTTTTCCTATATATTCTTCAGAAGAGAGTGGAGACAATTGGTAAGCAGAGGTCCTCCTGCTTTATGCACCTCGGCTGGGATTCCATCAGGCCCTGAGGCTTTGTTATTTTTCATCTGTTTGATGGTCAGTAGCTACCTCATCCAGGGGTGGAGGATAGCTCTGGAAGCTGAGGGACCTGCTGGGTAGTCAGGACAACCACATCAGTCTTTCGGTTAAGCAGCGAAGTAGTGCTCTTTCCAGTGCTGAAAGAGGCCTTCATCGTCTTTAATTCTGGAGTTACCGTCAGATGAGCGGAGGGGGGCTGCGCCCTGAGTGATTGGCCCATAAAAGTTGTTAGAACTGAAAAAAATCATGCATCTTGTGTTGATCTGCAAATCTTTGCGTTTCACATGCTTTATATTTAAACCAGTCATTCTTAAGATTGCGAAGCTCGTGCTGGGCCGCCACTTTCATCTTGAGGAAAGGTATCAGCTTTGGTTCGAGACTGAGAGTTGTTCAGCCAGTCAGTTAAAGCAGCTAGTTTATTATAGACGAGTTCATTGATTGCCAGGTCATTTTCATCAAACCAGTCCTGGTTTTTGTTTTGACGGTGTCGAGAATACCCCATTCAGCATTGGGATTTGGGTTGTTTGTTGTCGGGTTGCTCTTTGAAGGCATGTGTTGGATCCTCCAAATGCTTACTGTTAAAGCCTCTTCTGGAAGCTTGTTTCCTTCGCCGTTTTGGGGTGACGTGAAGTGATAGCTTGGCTCTGACGGCCCAGTGATCAGTGTTGCAGTGGCCTGAGCCACGCATGGCTCAGGCGATGAGAACATCTCGGCGATCACTTTCCCTGACAATGATGTAGTCAATGAGATGCCAGTGTTTGGATCGTGGGTGTTGCCACGAACCACTGAACTTGTCGGCCTGCCTAAGCAAGGTATTGGTGATAGTGAGGTTTTGTGCAGCACACTTGCTGAGGAGGAGTAGGCCGTTGGGATTACACTTGCCTAGTCTATTTCTCCCTACGATTCCCTGCTAAATGTCAGCATCTCTGCCAACTCTGGCAATGAAAATCAACTAGGAGCACAACCTTATCTTCTCCGGGGATAGAGGTTAGCACTATCTCAAGGTCAGCGTAAAAGGCCTCCTTGATGTCATCCTCTGCATTCAGTGTTGGGGCGTATGCACTGATGAAAATGGCATGGCGTGAGTGATTCAGTGGGAATCTGAGCGTCATTAGGCGCTCTTTGATCCCAACAGGCTTTTCGGTTAGCCTGTGTGGGATGCGTTGGCGGATGGCAAAGCCAACTCTGAAAATGTGGTTTCTCTCCACAGCAGGCTTACCCTTCCAGAAGAAGGTGTAGCCAGACCCCCGTTCTGTGAGTCGACCCTCGTCTGGGAACCGGGACTCACCAATGGCTGCTATGTCGATGTTACACCTAGCCAGCTCTTTTGCCACAAGGGCGGTTCTTCTTTCAGGACGCTCATTTGTGCCAGTATCTAGAAGGGTCCTGACATTCCATGCAGCGACCACAAGAGTTTGTATAGTTTGTTTTTGTTTTGATCTGTGATTATGGTTGTGTTTTTGACCGCATATGGATGACCTTACTGGGTGCTGTTGCTCAGTCAGGTTGGTTTTTTAGGCAGGTTATGTTTTGGGCACCTTTTCTAGCCCCCTCCCCATGTGGGGTGAGCAGAGTGGCTCCTTGAAAAGGCTACTCAGTTGCACAAACAGGACCAGATTGCACTGCTGCCTAGATCACAGTGCATAAATGACCATCTTATCTTTGCTGCCCATGTGCAGAGTTGTGACTAGACTCCCGACCGTCATCTCTGCCTGTCCCTGACGCCACTCGCCATAGGACTTTTGGGGGTTTAGAGGTTTTGATGATGAAGAGTATGATGAGATGGATGTTTGTTGCGCTCTAGTTGATTTATGTGGTGAGGCAGGAGCTCAGGCTGCAACCACTCATCCTGGCTCCATTTTTTCTGATCCAGTGGTGCAAGTGTTGCAATGACTGGGGAGAGGGAGAGTTGCGATGGACTGCCAATAGCCCAGTTTGTTGGGTTTCGCCTCGGTAGCCTGTCCATCATGCATTGCCTTTGTCCGCCGGTGTAGTCGTTGGGTTCCCATGGCGGTTACCTCTTCCGCCTACACCGCCGTTGGGGTTTTGTTGGAGCTCTGTAAGCATATCTGCCTGATGCGGGCTCCACCGCAGATTTTCGTTCGGGGTTTACTCTCGTATCCTTATACCAACTAAAGTTAATTTGCAAGGCAGCAGGGCAGTGAGTGGTAGGCGCCAGGACGTGTCCACTGCTGCTCCGATATCCTCTGCTGGTCTAGCCTGGGCTCACGAGGCACCCAGTTACCGTGTGTTGCCACGAGGTGGCAAAACAGGAGTCTTGATGGTGAAGAGGCTGTGTACTGGCAGGGGAGGACTTATGCAAGTTGCTTCCCTGTTCGCCACGAGGGCTTGCCAGAGGCGGTAGCTGAAAGCGAGAGGGAGCAAGCAGAGCTTGCCCTTAACACTAACATAGTGCTGCCATTCTAGACGCATTGCACCACCCTGTCCACACACACACACACACACACACACACACACACACATGCTTAACTTGCTTAAGGCTGTCCGTCGTAGCCGACAACGACTCTGCTTCATTATAAAATCGATGATGATGATGAGTGGTGAACTCGGGATGTCGGCGGTGCCACTGGATGTGGCTGTGGAGTCCGATCTTTGACCCGTAGACTCTATCACACATTGGGCAGGACAGCTCCGGGTTGGGTGGGAGTTCTCTGGGAGTGCGATTGTGTCTCCTTTCACTACATGCATATTTGGCCCTATTACGCTCGTACTCGAGATGTTTGACACCTTGGGTACAGGTGGAGCGCCATTTACTTCGGTTGGTTTCATTAGTTTCAAGATCCTTTAGAAGAGTGTTATATTTTTTTAGCGTCATTCTGTGCTGTTCTCTGCACCTTTTGCATTGTTCTTCAGGGATGCGGCTTGCCTCGGGTAGCTACCTGTAGAGGATCTGGCGGGGGAGTCGGTGCTCTAGTATGTGGATGACGTGTCCTGTCCATTGCAACTGTTGCTTCGCCAGAAATGCCTCTATGCTGGTGGTGTTGTTACACAGGAGGATGTCAGTATGAGGTACTTGGTCCTGCCAGGTCAGACCAAGAATGCGCTGCAAACAACGGATATGGAAGGCCTCGAGAGATCTGATGAGCCTTTGGTAAGTAATACACGCCTCAGAACCAAATAAGATAGTGGAAATACGCACAGCTTGGTAAACAAAAAGTTTGGTTGTAACTTAGAGGCTGTTATTGTCGACCACTGGCGCGCAGACGACCAAAGGAGGCAGCTGCAAGATGGATCCGAGCCTGGGTCTCCTCGTCGATGTTGTGCTTGCGAGTAAGAACGCTACCAAGGAAGGTAAAATGTTCTACGTGTTTGACATGGTCTCCATTGACTAGGAGTGCAGGTGGTGGGTCTGTGCCTCTGTGTTGAGCAATTATCTCTGTTTTTTGGATGTTAATTTTCAGTCCGATGGCCTGATATATAGCGGAGACAATCGAGAGACTGTGTTGGAGAGCTTCTGGGGAGTGGGCAACGAGTGCGCAGTCATCAACATATTGGAGCTCCAGGAGGTGGGAGGTCAACGTTTTTGTTGCCTGAAGGCGGTGGAGGTTGAACAGGTTGCCATCTAAGCGGAATTGAATCTTCACGCCACCATCGTCATTCATGGAGTTATGGCTGATCAGGGTCACTGCTGTGAGGTATAGATTGAAGATGACAGGAGCCAGAACGCACCTCTGTTACACACCGACCTCAACACGAAAGAGTTTGGACTTGGTGCCTCCTGCTAGTACACATGCTTGCATGTCCTCATGGAAGCTCTTGAGTATTTTAAGAAATTTTGGAGGGACACCAAACTTAGAAAGAACTGTCCAGAGCAGTGCTCTATTGACGGTGTCGAAAGCTTTCGTTAAGTCGATGAAAGCTATGTAGAGGTCACGGTTCTGTTCATGGCATTTTTCTTGTATTTGACTCATGGCAAAGATCATATCAGTTGTGCTGCGATCTTTAAGGAAGACACATTGCGTCTCAGGCAGAGTGGACTCAGCGATGTGTTGGGCTAATCTACAGAGCATAATTTTGGCAAGTACTTTACCTGCCACAGCCAAGAGAGATATGCCTCGGCTGTTGCCACAGATGGAACGGTCACCTTTTTCCTTGTAGATTGCGATGATGCTCGGGCTCCGCCATTCCTTGGGGACGCTTTAGGTAGACCAGGTGGTAAGAATGAGTTGGTGGAGACGCTGAAGGAGAAGGTAGCCTCTGCTCTTAAAGATTTCTGAAGGCACTTTTGTTGTTTATGAAGAACTTGACAGCCCATAGAGTCTCGGAGAACTCGGGTGCTGCATCGAAGTCTACCGCCGGAAGCAACTATGGGATGGAATCTAGTATGTTGGGCTCAGTAGGGTTCCTTTGATTGAGAAGACTACCAAAGTGTTCTGCCCATCGATCCTAGATTTGCTGTTAATCCTTGAGGAATTCACCGCCGAGTGATCTCACTGGAGTGATGTTGCGCTTGGCGGGACCATGAATGGCTTCAGTGGCACTGTAGAAGCCCTGATGGTCGCTCTCGTTGGCGAAGCTCTGGATTTCTTCAGCTCTGGCTTGCCACCACTCGTTTTCAATGTTTTTCAGAGTCCTCTGTGCTTCGGCCCTGAGTGAGCACCAGTTGACTCTGAATGCAGCAGATTGTGGGTTTGAGAGTAAAGCATCGTGGGCTTTATTCTTGGTAGTAAGAAAATTGTATATGCCATCAGCGTTCTCATCGAACCAGTCCCAGTGACGTCGTCTGGTTGTGCCGAGGATGTCCTTTGCAACTTTATTTATGGGCAAGCGGAGGTTGTTCCACTCATTGTCCACGTCTATTGTGTTGCTGCTTAAATAGACTGTGGGTGTAGAAGACAGGCCCTCAGCTAGGGAGCTGTGGAAATTTCCAACTACTGTTGGGTTTTTGAGAGCGTTGCAATCGAGTTTTTTGTTTGGAAGTCGTAATGGTACTTGGGGGCGGATTTCGAGCCTCATCTTGGAACGGATTAAGATATGGTCGGTGGATCATTCTGCACCTCTCATGGCCTGGGTTTGGAGAACTCCTCGCTGGTCATGTTGTCTTACAATGATGGAGTCGAGAGGGTGCCAGTGCTTGGACTTGGGTCTATCCAGGAGGTTTTATGCTTGTATTTAAGTTGGAAACACACACACACACACACACACACACACACACACATATACACACACACACACACACACATACACACACATACACACACGGTACTTTTATATATAACCATACTGTATTATTGGCAGAGCTGTTCTTCTTATATTTGTTTCCTCTTATGCAATTTTCTCTCTCCATACATGTCTCAACTGCTCCATATTGTCATTTTCACTGAGACAACCACTTTCACATACCTCAAACACCTCACATACTCCAATGTCTTTTGTATCCACTTAACATCCAATTATCCATACATATTTTCTTATAACTTCCGTTTTGAATCCACCAACACAAGAGTATCAGATGTAAACATTAGCTGACACCCCCACCAGTGACAACCTCCATCTATTAACTTCACCTCACCGTCACTCTCTCTTTTCTCCTTTCCTCCTTCTACCAACTGACACATTCTCCGTTGGGACCCTTGACTTTTAACTCCTGCACCTCGCCCGGGTCACTACCTACCCACGAAAATGTTTATTTACCAACCCAGGGCACAGCGGACAACCTTGACCGGTCCCACTCACTTCTCCTCCTCCTCTTGCTGACACATTCACCGACTTGATTCAATCTTTATATTTCAGCAACAATGAGCAATTTCCTGCACACCTTCACTATCTATGTACTGTATATGGTATGACTGCATTGTCTATACACTGAATCGATGTATATCTGTGTGACGATTTTACTGCATCTCTCTCTCTCTCTCTCTCTCTCTCTCTCTCTCTCTCTCTCCTCTTTAGGTTTTAAATTTTTCTCAAACACACAACACCTCAGCTACACAACACCTCAGCTACACAACACCTCAGCTACACAACACCTCAGCTACATAACACCTCAGCTACACAACACCTCAGCTACACAACATCTCAACGCTTGTGTTAAGACCCACATTTACCAGACTAACACCCGATGTTCACACTAAACACACTTCACTAGTCTGAGATGAGTCCATGATAGTTATTCAAAGACTCAGTAGAAACCACCTGTTACTCACTGCAGTAACAATGATTAACGTGACATATCATTTACACACTACAGGCGTCCAGACAGCCCCAAGGGCGGGTACTGGGTGGCGGCTCTACAGTCAATGCTATGTATCACGTGAGAGGTAACAGGCGGGACTTTGACCAGTGGGCGGCCTTGGGGAACCCCGGCTGGGACTACCACTCTGTTCTTCCCTACTTCATCAAGGCCGAGGACTACCGCGTCTCCCTCCCCCATACAGGTGACCTCAAATACCTTCATCTCTTATTCATATTTATAATGTTGTCAGGTTACACACAAGACCTCGGCGGTGGTGACACACCTGGCACGAGTGTCACTGTATGTGGAATATACAAATAAGTCTTTAACAGATAATTTTCTTGTTTGGTCTTTATTAAGTAATTAATGTGTCCCAATGTTATGTAAATCAACATTCATTTACAGTATATTTATAATATGTGTTTGAATGACGCATTTCTTTTCTTTTGTTTTCAAATTTAAAGGATTTTAACATCATGTGAGCCAAAGATTGACACACTGTTAACATGTTAACCTTGTTATGACTTACAACTGTCACAACTGTCACAACTCACAACTGTAGTGACTCACAACTGTAGTGACTTACAACTGTAGTGATACAGCAACTGTCGTGACTTACAACTGTCGTGACCTACAACTGTAGTGACTTACAACTGTCGTGACTTACAACTGTCGTGACTTACAACTGTCGTGACTTACAACTGTAGTGACTTACAACTGTCGTGACTTACAACTGTCGTGACTTACAACTGTCGTGACTTACAACTGTCGTGACTTACAACTGTCGTGACTTACAACTGTAGTGACTTACAACTGTCGTGACCTACAACTGTAGTGATACAGCAACTGTCGTGACTTACAACTGTCGTAACTTACAACTGTAGTGACTTACAACTGTAGTGACTTACAACTGTAGTGACTTACAACTGTAGTGATACAACAACTCTCAGATAGTGTCACCTGAGGACAATAAATAGCGAATATTGTGAGTTAAATTTTAGTAAAAAAGATGTCACTTTTTTGTAAGTTTGATCACCTAACTTTCTTTGTTGTCATGTGCTATAAGCAGTGTATATGTGGCTGCTTGACGTCACTTAACACATACGGTATGTTGAGTTATAAAATTGGATGAGATACAATTATTTTAAGAAATTGTGGAATAATAAGACAGCATTATGGAGCAGACGAGGCTAACCGCTCCATAACCTTTCACTGTTACAACACCAGTAATTAGGTAACCTTATATGTTTACGAGACAGAGGCTTACCACGGACGAGGTGGGCCCATAGGCGTCACCCAGGCACCACTGACGCCCTTCTCCCGGGCCTTCATACAGAGCGGCCTTGACCTGGGCTACTCCGTCATCGACTACAACGGGCCAGAACAACTCGGTAACATCGCCTCCTTCATAATAAGAAACTATTAACTTCATTATTTACGCTGTTTTCAAGTTACTTCATAACCAAGCTGTTACAGTAAACTTAAACACGTTTTGTATTTACTTTACTAAATATTAGTGGTACAAAAAACACTTATGTATTTGGTAAAGTTTAGTTGTAATGCAAAACATATTATGATCCTGAACAAGAGGAGAAAATAGTTATCGTTATTAAACTTGAATTATAGAAATGAGACGAATTTATGACGGTAAATAAAGGAGTTTGTTTGTTGATATATAACACAATATAACTAATTTGTTGTTACACACTAAATACTTTTACCTACACACTGTCAGCACTCCACACTGTCAGCACTCCACACTGTCAGCACTACACACTATCAGCACTCTACACTACACACTGTCAGCACTCCACACTGCCAGCACTCAGCACTACAAACTGTCAGCACTACACACCGTCAGCACTACACACTGTCAGCACTACACATGTCCGCGCTCAACACTCCACACTGTCAGCACTCAACACTACACACTGTCAGCACTCAACACTACACACTGTCAGCAATCAGCACTACACACTGTCAGCACTCAACATTAAACACAGTCAGCACTCAACACTACACACTGTCAGCACTCAACACTACACATTGTCAGCACTCAACTCTACACACTGTTAGCACTACACACTACACACTGTCAGCACTCAAAACTACAGACTGTCAGCACTCAGCACTACACACTGTCAGCACTACACAATGTCAGCACTCAACAATACATACTGTCAGCACTCAACACTACACACTGTCAGCACTCAACACTACACACTGTCAGCACTCAACACTACACACTGTCAGCACTCAACACTACACTGTCAGCACTCAACACTACACACTGTCAGCACTCAACACTACACACTGTCAGCACTCAACACTACACACTGTCAGCACTCAACACTACACACTGTCAGCACTCAACACTACACACTGTCAGCACTCAACACTACACACTGTCAGCACTCAACACTACACACTGTCAGCACTACACACTACACCGTCTAACCAACAGTCAGCACTAACACTACACAGTCAGCACTCAACACTACACACTGTCAGCACTCAACACTACACAGTGTCAGCACTCAACACTACACACTGTCAACACTACAGACTGTTAGCACTCAACACTACACACTGTCAGCACTACTCAATGCTACACACTGTCAACACTAAGACAGATCATCATTAGCACTCAACACTACACACTGTCAGTACCAATAGCAGCACTCAACACTACACAATTGTCAGCACTCAACACTACACACTGTCAGCACTCAACACTACACATTGTCACGCACCAACACTACACACTGTTCAGCACTCAACACTACACACTGTCGGCCCAACACTTCACATTGTCAGCACTCAACACTACACACTGTCAACACACAGACTGTTAGCACTCAACACTGCACACTGTCAGCACTCAACACTACAGACTGTCAGCACTCAACACTACACACTGTCAGCACTCAACACTACACACTGTCAGCACTCAACACTACACACTGTCAGCACTCAACACTACACACTGTCAGCACTCAACACTACACACTGTCAGCACTACACACTCAAACACAAAACATTGAACATTATAACAAAGTCAGTTCTTCACGAGGCGCCAGAACAAACATTAACAATATCGTGAATTGTTTTATTATCGGCACTAACAAAGTTTCTCTCTCTCTCTCTCTCTCTCTCTCTCTCTCTCACAGGGTTTTCACCAGCAACGTTCTCCACTAAGGACGAGTCAGATCATCAACTGCCAGAGGTACTCTACAGCCGGCCTCCTTCAGACCTAACCTCCATATCTCTCACAGCACCACCGTCCTACAGGTGAGTTGTTGAAGCCTCCAGTATCACCGACCTCCAGGTGAGTTGTTGAGGCTCCAGTATCACCGACCTCCAGGTGATGTGAAGCCTCAGTATACCGTCCTGGGGTTGTTGAAGCCTCCAGTATCACCGCCTCCAGGTGAGTGTTGAGTCCAGTATCACCGACCTGGTGAGTTGTTGAAGCCTCAGATCACCGCCTCCAGGTGAGTTGTTGGCCTCCAGTATCACCGACCTCAGGTGAGTTGTTGAAGCCTCCAGTATCACGACTTACAGGTGAGTTGTTGGCCTCCAGTATCACTGACCCCAGGTGAGTTGTTGAAGCCTCCAGTATCCGACCTCAGGTGGTTGTAGCCTCCAGTATCAACGACCTCCAGGTGGGAACCGTCCGCTGGTAGTACTGCAGCTGCGGGTGGTCCCAGGTCGCGCTTGGAGGCCTGAGGTGCTCAACCCACCTACAGTCCATACTGGGCAGTCCCATTTACACCCAACCCTAGCTCGTTATATCCACCCAACCTATGTTTGAAGCTATCAAGCGTATTCGAGTTAATGATGATGTTTGGTAACTTGTTCCAGTCGTCCACTACTCTGTTTCCAAACCAATGTTTACCTATCTCGCGCCTAAATCTAAATTTGTCTAGTTTAAACCATTGCTACGAGTTCGCTCTGGTTGGATAGTTTGAGCTACCATGTCCCCTTGTTTTGTCCTGACTTCCATTTATACACCTCGATCATATCGCCCCTCACTCTAAGGCTCTCGAGGGAGTGCAAATTAAGATGCTTTAACCTGCCTCTGTACTCAAGGTTCCTAATGCCCGGGATCAGTCTTGTTATTCTCCTCTGAATTCTTTCTTGGGATTCGATATCCATTCTGTAGTACGGTGACCAGAACTGAACCGCTTAATCTAAGTGAGGTAGTTAGAGGATAGTGATCTATCTCCCTTCTTGATAACCGGTATAACATGCGCCTAGGTATGCTGAGGACATACTAAGCTCTTCCTTACATTCCTTTAATATTCTGGCAAATATTTCATCGGGACCTGTTGACTTATTAGGCTTTAGTTTGTCTATTTGCTTAATAACATCGTTACTAGTCACTGCTATCTCGCTTAATCTATTTTATCACTATCTCTGTATATAATGTATTATTCAATATTATGAACAAAATTTATTGTTTTCAGATTGTGTTCGACAACAACAAGAGAGCTGTTGGTGTCAAGTTTGAACATAAGGGATCAGTGAGTGTTACTGCACCTTGTTTACCTTATGATCAAAAGGCATTCGTTTACCAGACCAATATTTCACCTCACCTATAAATACTTATTTATCTTTTATAAAGTACAAGTAATGAGTTATGTGTCTTCAGTATTATTATAACAGAGCAATAATATAAATATAATTCCTAATAACACAAAACTCTGTACTGGTGTCATTATATATGAGCTATCATGTATAAAATGTAAACTATAAATGACGTCATCAGCATAATTCTCATTGTTTATGGTTCACATTGTTTATAAAGTCACCACATTATTAATGGTTCACATTGTTTATAAAGCCACCACATATTAATGGTTCACATTGTTTATAAAGTCACCACATTATTAATGGTTCACATTGTTTATAAACCACACATATGTGGTTCATTGTTTATAAGAAAGTCACCACATTATTAATAGGTTACATTGTTTATAAAATCACACATTATTTGTAAGAAATCATCACAATAATGGTTTCACATTATTCTATAAAATCATCACATTATTAATAGTTCACATTACATTTTATAAAGTCATCACATTATTTATGGTTCACATTGTTTATAAAGTCATCACATTAGTAATGGTTCACATTATTTATAAAGTTATCACATTGTTTATAAAGTCATCACTCTAGTAATAATTCACATTGTTTATAAAGTTATCACATTAGTAATGGTTCACATTGTTTATAAAGTCATCACATTTTTAATGGTTCACATTATTTATAAAGTTATCACATTGTTTATAAAGTTATCACATTAGTAATGGTTCACATTGCTTATAAAGTCACCACATTATTAATGGTTCACATTAACAATAGTTCACATTGTTCATAAAGTCATGAGGTAGGATGTTTAGTTAATTAAAGATAAGCAAAGTTTACCTGTGGTGTGATGCAGGTGTTGACGGTGGGAGCACGGCGGGAGGTGATCCTGTCTGCTGGTCCTGTTGAATCACCCAAACTGCTCATGCTGTCTGGGGTGGGGCCCAAGGATCACCTCCACAAACACAAGGTAGTGCCACTGTAGCTGATGCTGGTATAAGAAGTAACGTCTCAACTGAGTCTACAGCAGGAGGTATTAACCCTGGGAGTGACACTGTGGCTCAGGAGATGATGAAGGCAGATATACAGTACAACTGAGGGTAGACTTAATGTTAGGGCTAAGAGAAGAACTCTTCACTTCCCGCCACCAATGATCTACCAACACATTATTCTTATTGTGTCTCTAACTCATTCTGGGTTCACTTAATATTTAGGGGAATTTCACTTGTGAGTGTTTGGGTGAACAATAATTTACTATAGTGAGTTAAAGTGTTACCACCATACATGACGCTACTGACACATGTCACTATAATAAGTTATATTACCACCATACATGACACTAACCTAACCTAAATTATTACCATCATACATGGTGGTATATACAGCAGTCTGTGTGTGTGTTACAGGTGAAGGTAGTCACAGACCTTCCAGGGGTCGGCCACAACGTACACGACCACACTGAGGTATTAGGACTCAGCTGGACAACAGTAAAAGGCTCAACTGCAGCCGACTTGCTCCAGACTTACAACCCCATCTCCCTGCAGCAGTACAAGACTACCAGACAAGGTTAGTATACACAGTATATATGGCTGGTGATGACACACACCTGGTGTATTGTTCAGAGGAAAACTTATAATGGCGAGTCATTAACTTAAGTACGTGAACTGGCAAGAATTTAAATCCGTATGTAAACAAAACTGCAGTGTAATGGTCAGCCGGCCTGCCTCACAATGGTGGTCCTTAATGCCCGATCCACCTGGCTGGGTGTAACTACGGGTAAGATTCTTTACGTCATTTGCCCATGGTGGGGAGTGGGATGATGCAGCACTCCAATATTTTTGTGCGAAAGAGTAAGATGATGCACATAGCACCACAAATGACCTAGGACACCAGAATTAAAGTTCAACACCTCTAACTACCAGCAGTAATTGGGGTAGGGTTATTAATATATCTGCGCATAGTGGCTTGGTCTAATGATAAGCCAGTACAGTTGGCGTGTTGTCCGGTCTTCTCGTTAACTTGTGGGTGGTTGATGTGTCGGCTACAGCTTCAACAAACTCACGCCCAGGTTGCCCTTTGGCCAAGCAGCATCAGACACGAGGGTCAGCTCCCATAGCGATAATAAGAGGTATTGAAGGAAGACGGAAACGTGTTGTTAAACATATACAGTAGATAGTAAGGAGAGAGACCTGGGAGTGGATGTGTCAGCAATAAGTGAAGCTCAGAATAGCGGAGGAAAAGATAATATTTAGTGCATCGAGGAATATATAAAGTGAACCGTGTAGTGGTGTTGCTGGATCGACATTATTACTGTGAAACATTGACTCTAAAGGCAACAGGAAGGAACAATTTAGAAATAACAAATATTTAACTGTTTACAAAATGTGTGAGGTTTATAGAAGACGAGAATAAGAAATGTATAATAAGGGTTGTAGAATGGGAAGGTGAAGAATGGTAAAAGATTTCAAAGGAGGAGAGAGAGAGAGAGAGATGCTAGAAGTGTTAGGAGAGACGCCCCACCAGCGTGGCAGCAGTGTCCATCAATAAGCGGAAGACTTGGTATCAAGTGATATTTGTGGCAGGAAGAGTTGGCATTTAATGGTGGTGCCTTGTGTGGTCGGGTAGCTCCTTGACAGAACACATATATGACTGCAGTAAAATTGATTGAGTGTGGGTATTATATTTCCTCAGTTATGTTTACAACGAATTTTAAAGAGAAAAGACATGAAAGTGAACATAAAACGCGCGCACAATGTCAGCGTACATTAATTCTACTGAATACCTCGACGTAGTTACACCAATACAGTAGACAGTTGTCATCTTTTGAAAATACACAAAAATATAATGTACTTGTTTTTACCTCTGCTTTTCTGTGTATCAGGGCCTTTAAGTACAGCACCTTTAAGTTTCACCAATGCTTGGGTCAAAGTTCTCCAAGATGGTGATCCCTACTGGCCGTATTACAAATGTTCTTCAATGGCATCACTTAGCGTATGACAATGAGCCTGAATCCCGCCTTTATATGGCCTTGATAAAAAGGCTAGTGATTCCTAACATTATTTCTCTGTCTATCATCCTTCCTCTTCTCTCTATCATCCTTCCTCTTCTCTATCATCCTTCCTCTTCTTTCCACATTCATCCTCTCTCTATTCATTGTTGTTTTTAACTAGAGTGATGAAGAGGAGGTGAGCAATGACACTGTCCTCTGAAACCAGGTTGGGTAAACTAGCAACTTGGGGAGACTGTATGACCTATATATCCAGAGTTGAAAGTTATGAGGGGGAGATATGAGAGGGCAGGGAGTTGTATGTGAAGGGGGAGATATGAGAGGGCAGGGAGTTGTATGTGAAGGGGAGAGATATGAGAGGGCAGGAGTTGGGCGCGAAGGGGGGAGACAGAGAGGGCAGGGAGTTATATGTGAAGGGGGGGAGATATGAGAGGGCAGGGAGTTGTATGTGAAGGGGGATATGAGAGGCAGGGAGTTGTATGTGAAGGGGAGCAGAGGGCAGGGAGTTGTATGTGAAGGGGAGTAAGAGGGCAGGGAGTTGTATGTGAAGGGGGATAAGGAGAGTGGGCAGGGAGTTGTATGTGAAGGGGAGATATGAGAGGGCAGGGAGTTGTATGTGAAGGGGGGATAGTGAGAGGCAGGGAGTTGTATGAAGGGGGGATGAGAGGGCAGGGAGTTGTATGTGAAGGGGAGAGGAGAGGGCAGGGAGTTGTATGAAGGGGAGATATGAGAGGTGGGAGTTGTATGAAGGGGGGGATATGAGAGGGCAGGAGTTGTGGGCGTGAAGGGGGAGATATGAGAGGCAGGGAGTTGTATGTGAAGGGGAGATATGAGAGGCAGGGAGTTGTATGTGAAGGGGGAGATATGAGAGGGCAGGGAGTTGTATGTGAAGGGGATATGAGAGGGCAGGGAGTTGTATGTGAAGGGGGAGATATGAGAGGCAGGGAGTTGTGGCGTGAAGGGGAGAGGCGAGAGGGCAGGGTTGTATGTGAAGGGGATGAGAGGGCAGGGAGCGTATGTGAAGGGGATATGAGAGGCAGGGAGTTGTATGTGAAGGGGAGATATGAGGGCAGGGAGTTGTATGTGAAGGGGAGATATGAGAGGGCAGGGAGTTGTATGTATGGGGATATGAGAGGGCAGGAGTTGTATGAAGGGGGATATGAGAGGGCAGGAGTTGTATGTGAAGGAGAGATATGAGAGGGCAAGGAGTTGTATGTGAAGGGATATGAGAGGGCAGGGAGTTGTATGAAGGGGGAGATATGAGAGGGCAGGGAGTGAAGGGGAGATATGAGGCAGGGAGTTGTATGAAGGGGGGAGATATGAGAGGGCAGGAGTTGTATGTGAAGGGGGAGATATGAGAGGGCAGGGAGTTGTATGCGAAGGGGAGATATGAGAGGGCAGGGAGTTGTATGTGAAGGGGAGATATGAGAGGGCAGGGAGTTGTATGTGAAGGGGAGAGGTGAGAGGGCAGGAGTTGTATGTGAAGGGGAGATATGAGAGGGCAGGGAGTTGTATGGCAAGGGGAGATATGAGAGGGCAGGGAGTTGTATGTAAGGGGAGATATGAGAGGGCAGGGAGTTGTATGTGAAGGGGGAGATATGAGAGGGCAGGGAGTTGTATGTGAAGGGGGAGATATGAGAGGGCAGGGAGTTGTATGCGAAGGTGAAGATATGAGAGGGCAGGGAGTTGTATGTGAAGGGGGAGATATGAGAGGGCAGGGAGTTGTATGTGAAGGGGGAGATATGAGAGGGCAGGGAGTTGTATGTGAGGGGGAGATATGAGAGGGCAGGGAGTTGTATGCGAAGGGGGAGATATGAGAGGGCAGGGAGTTGTATGTGAAGGGAGATATATGAGAGGGCAGGGAGTTGTATGTGAAGGGAGATATATGAGAGGGCAGGGAGTTGTATGAGAGGGCAGGGAGTTGTATGAGAGGGCAGGGAGTTTATAAACCTCATAACAAATGTTTTATACCAAGTTAATTAACTAATTATTGGTAATATATCACCTACTTGTTGCTGCAGAAGTTACTGAACTACATGGGTGACATATATGGCCGAGATGGCTTCACTATCAGACCCATCCTTTTACGACCAAAAAGTCGAGGAAGTATAACACTCAAGTCCAACAACCCGAAGGATGCCCCAAATATTGACCCCAGGCTTCTCAGTCACCCTGATGACGTCACAACCCTTGTTGAAGGTAGGCATGGCGAGCCTCTTACAACTAATGTCTGCTTTAATTATATATCTTTCTCGCATTACAACTCTAAACTACATTTCATTATTTACTCTATAACTGACAGATGATATAACATTTATATTAATGTAGACCTTAATATATCATGTCTCAACTTATTCTATTGTTGATAAATTTACTCTAATAATTTATTGTTCAATTGCAGGGATAAAGTTGGCCTTGAGGCTGGGCAACACCTCAGACTTCGTCAACAACCTCGATGCAAAGTTTTATGATAAGGTAACAACATAAAGCCTTTTGTTGTTTAATGTATTATATGTGACTAAAAGTTATGTTGTGAGAAAGGCAGCCTGACAGTTATTACTTGTTCAGAAGTTATGTTGTGAGGAAGGCAGCCTGGCAGTTATTACTTGTTCAGAAATTATGTTGTGAGGAAGGCAGCCTGGCAGTTATTACATGTTCAGAAGTTATGTTGTGAGGAAGGCAGCCTGGCAGTTATTACATGTTCAGAAGTTATGTTGTGAGGAAGGCAGCCTGACAGTTATTACTTGTTCAGAAGTTATGTTGTGAGGAAGGCAGCCTGGCGGTTAGTTCAGAAGTTATGTTGTGAGGAAGGCACAGTTATTACTTGTTCAGAAGTTATGTTGTGAGGAAGGCAACCTGGCAGTTATTACTTGTTCAGAAGTTATGTTGTGAGGAAGGCAGCCTGGCAGTTATTACTTGTTCAGAAGTTATGTTGCGAGGAAGGCAACCAGTTATTACTTGTTCAGAGTTGTGAGAAGGCAGCCTAGCAGTTATTACTTGTTCAGAAGTTATGTTGTGAGGAAGGCAGCCTGGCAGTTATTACTTGTTCAGAAGTTATGTTGTGAGGAAGGCAGCCTGGCAGTTATTACTTGTTCAGAAGTTATGTTGTGAGGAAGGCAGCCTGGCAGTTATTACTTGTTCAGAAGTTATGTTGTGAGGAAGGCTTGACCTGGCAGTTATTACTTGTTCAGAAGTTATGTTGTGAGGAAGGCAACCTGGCAGTTATTACTTGTTCAGAAGTTATGTTGTGAGGAAGGCAGCCTGGCAGTTATTACTTGTTCAGAAGTTATGTTGTTAGGAAGGCAGCCTGGCAGTTGAACAAGATAGATATAGAGAAATCTACCTGATGAAGATTTGGGGGTAAAGATAATATGTTAGGACCTAAAACTTAGACAAAATGTTTTTATGGGGGAAATAAGGTGAAGAGAATACTGGTGTCTGTATTTAGAAGCCCTAGTACAGTGCTGTAACGTTATCTTGCATCTGTACCAGGAGTTAGTGACGCCTCAGTTGAATTATGCGGTTCACTTCTTGTCACATGAATATTGAACGGATATTCGAGTCTCGTTAAAGCGCATAAAGTCATTTTGAAAACAGAATTTACATTCTCTTGAGAGACGAGAGTGAAAGGCGTTATGACCCAAGTATATAAAGGGAAGATAACGTTAAATAAAGGTGATATTACTTTGGTACTTCAACAATTAAATCAAGACTGATGTCGTAACAATAGTATTGAATAAGGAATATTTAGATAATTGGGTAAAACTGGCAATATGTGGTTAGTAAACAAGAGTTGTAGATGAGCGGAACAAATTACCAATCAAGATCATTAACTGGATGGGTGATAATGGCTGGGTGTCAACACTAAACAGGGCAGCCTCACATGGTTCAATAATGTTGTACTTTATTCTTATATTGTATCTTATCTATCTATTATATTTAACAACAAATATTACTTAAGACAATAACAGACAGATGTCAGATTCCTGCATTAGATTATTTGTTATTACTGATGAAAGAGGTTAAATATGTTGTCGTGTTAACAGCCCCTGCCAGAGTGTAGAGGTGAGGCGTACGGCAGCGACGCTTACTGGACCTGCTATGTGCGACACATGTCCAGTGCCTTCTATCACCTCTGTGGCGGCTGCAAGATGGCACCAGCTTCTGACCCGTATAGTGTGGTCGACAATAAACTGAAGTAAGTAAAGCGAGGAATGCAATGTGTGTTAACATAAGAACATAAGAAAATAAGGAGTCTGCAATAGGCCGATTGGCCTGTGCATGGCATCTCCTGTCGAGAGTTACTACCACTCTCTATCATCCATGAATCTATCTAGCCTCCTTTTGAAACTTTCCAGAGTTCCCGCACTTACTACAAAGTTGCTAAGCTTGTTCCACTCGTCCGCCACCCTATTTGTGAACCAGTTTCTTCCTGTCTCCCTCCTAAACCTAAACTTATCCAACTTGAATCCGTTGCTCCGAGTCCTATCCTGCTCGGATATTATAAGAACTTTATCTATATCCCCTTTATTGATTCCTTTCACCCACTTAAATACTTCTATCATATCTCCCCGCACTCTTCGTCTTTCTAGGGAATGCAAGTTAAGTTTCTTTAACCTATCCTGATATGGAAGGTTTCTAAGTCCCGGAATCATTTTTGTCATTCTTCTCTGCACCGACTCTAGTGAATTTATATCCATTCTATAATAGGGGCACCAGAACTGAACCGCATAATCGAGGTGCGGCCTGACTAGCGCAAGATATAGTTGCAATAAGACCTATGCACTCTTGTTACTTACACTTCTAGATATAAAACCCAATACTCTGTTTGCCTTATTTCGAACATTAACGCACTGTTTTCTAGGCCGTAGGTCCGGGCTTATAAGTACCCTAGGTCTCTTTCACAAGTCGACTTCTCTAGGTTGATGTTGTTAAGGCTGTATACATTATAAGTATTTGTTCTTCCAATATTAAGTACGCTGCACTTGCTGGTGTTGAATTTCATTTGCCATTTTTCAGACCACCCCAGCAGTTTATTTAGGTCCTCCTGTAATGCATTTGCATCCTGCCCTGAATTAATTTGCCGCCCTATTTTGGTGTCATCCGCAAACTTGCTTATGTCACTGCTGATCCCAGTATCTAGATCGTTTTTGTAGATTATGAACAAGAGTGGGCCCAGTACTGACCCCTGGGGAACCCCACTGATTACACGGCCCCACTCGGATTTAACACCATCTACGCTGACCCTCTGTGTGTTGTTTAGGCAGGAGAACATATAGTGTGTGTCATTAGTGGAAACACTTGAAACATGGATATAATAGGTGAATGGAAACATGGATAAGAAAATGTTTATCATGGTTCATGTATACTTGTAACGCATAAGAGATGCATGTGTGTGGGCAACTTGTACCTTTAACTAACATTATTACTCCATATAAACATTACTCTTATATTTACTCCTTCACTCTGCTACTCCTAATGTTTATTTGCAGGATTTTTCTTTAGTTTTCATTTAGTTCTTTTATCCATCTTTACCATTATCTGTTCGCGCCAATATCCACCAAGATCATCATTAAGTTCATCTTGAACATAATGAATAACTCCTTCATATTATAAACATGTTAGGTTATTATCACCGTGTATAAAGACTTCTATAACCTGGCTGGTAATAGTGTTTGGTGAGCAATGTTACCACTTGTTTGTTTCAGGGTTCGTGGAGTCTTTGGTCTGAGAGTAGTTGGCGCCCCTATCATGCCAGCTGTCACCAGTGGCAACACTAATGTTCCCGTTGTTATGATCGCTGAGAAGGCCAGTGACATCATCAAGCAAGACTGGAACAGTTAATCCTGAACGACTTAGTGACATAACCGTCAACCATAGCGGATGTCATTAAGGCACAGCTGATGTACCAGCTAGTTGTGACCTTACTGGACCAGCTAGTTGTGACCTTACTGGACCAGCTAGTTGTGACCTTACTGGACCAGCTAGTTGTGACCTTACTGGACCAGCTAGTTGTGACCTTACTGGACCAGCTAGTTGTGACCTTACTGGTAGAGACCTTACTACCAGTAGTTGTGACCTTACTGGACCAGCTAGTTGTGACCTTACTGTACCAGGTAGATGTGACCTTACTGGACCAGCTAGTTGACCTTACTGGACCAGGTAGTTGTGACCTTACTGGACCAGGTAAGTTGTGACCCTTACTGGACCAGGTAGTTGTGACCTTACTGGACCAGCTAGTTGTATTATACTGGACCAGGTACTGGAGCATACTGGACCAGGTAGATGTGACCTTACTGGACCAGGTAGATGTGACCTTACTGGAGGTAGTTGTGACCTGGACCAGGTAGATTTGTGTTGCTTACTGGGACCAGGCCAGTTGTGACCTTACTGGACCAGGTGATGTATTATACTAGCAGCTAGTTGTGACCTTACTGGACCAGCTAGTTGTGACCTTACTGGACCAGCTAGTTGTGACCTTACTGGACCAGCTAGTTGTGACCTTACTGGACCAGCTAGTTGTGACCTTACTGGACCAGCTAGTTGTGACCTTACTGGACCAGCTAGTTGTGACCTTACTGGACCAGGTAGATGTGTCCTTACTATATCAGATAGTTGTGACCTTACTGGACCAGGTATTTGTGATGTCACTGGACCAGGTAGGTGTGACCTAAAGTGGACCAGGTAGATGTGACCTTACTGTACCAGGTTGATGTGACCTTACTGGAACAGCTAGTTGTGACCTTACTGGACCAGGTAGATGTGACCTTACTGATAGACTCATACAGTTGTGACCTCATCAAGAAGTATGGGAAGCATGCTCCACAGGTGACCTCAACACACGTCATGGTATACCTCCAGGCAGGTGTAAGTTTGCATTAGACAACAAGTGTGTTTATCTACATGAAGTCGTGACGACCACTACGATCTTCACTCCATGATAATTAACCTGAAAAATGTATTACCTGAGTTATATGTATTTATTTTAATATATTAAATATATTTATAAAATATACTTTAGTTCTTTATTAATACCTGTTACAACGTGAGAAATTATATTTTATTTTTGGAATTTACTTTTTATAGAAGAAAGTCTTTATGAAAACTGTCGCTCGGTGTTGTTTTCCTTCCTTCCTTCCTCACATTGTACTACATCACATTGTACTACATCACATTGTACTGCATCACATTGTACTACATCACATTGTACTGCATCACATTGTACTGCATCACATTGTGCTGCATCACATTGTACAATGTACTACATCACATTGTACTGCATCACATTGTGCTGCATTGCATTGTACTACATCACATTGTACTACAACACAGTGTGCTGCATTACATTGTACTACATCACATTGTACTACATCACATTGTGCTGCATCACATTGTACTACATCACATTGTACTGCATCACATTGTACTACATCACATTGTACTGCATCACATTGTACTACATCACATTGTACTACATCACATTGTGCTGCATCACATTGTACTACATCACATTGTACTACAACACAGTGTGCTGCATTACATTGTACTACATCACATTGTACTACATCACATTGTGCTGCATCACATTGTACTACATCACATTGTGCTGCATCACATTGTACTACATCACGTTGTGCTGCATCACATTGTACTACATCACATTGTGCTGCATCACATTGTACTACATCACGTTGTGCTGCATCACATTGGACTGCATCACATTGTACTCCTGCCGGTTCATGAACGAGTCTGAAGCAGGAGAGACGACAATTATGCTGTGGCTGTACTGTACTGTACTGTACATAAAGGATGAGTCACAATTGTTTTCCGGCAATATATTTTTTTTTATTTAAACATTTGAAGAATATGACGATATTACATTTAACAAGAGATTTATTTTGGCAGACAAAATATAATGTGGAAATTTATATGTGAATGCATGTTATTAGTATCATACGTAATTTATGTTCATTAATATGATTGGATTTGTCCTTGGTAGTCAGGTTTCATATATCTATACTGTACAGTGGTGCCATAATCAAGAATTACTCGTATGTTCTTGTGTACATGTAACAGCAATAGGGAATTAAACTGTCTTGACACGTTTGAAGAAAGACTGGTCTCTCTCTCTGTGCACTGGCTGTAGCAACAAGCGCATGATATTATATTGTAGTGGATACTCTCCCCTACAACTGCCGACTTGGCACTTGCCGTCCACTTAACAGCTAACCAGCGGCGAGTTCCACAGACCAAGCCTCGCTTTCAGACTGTGCGGCGATTGGCTTGTTACCTCCACCTCAGCCAATCAGCAGCGCCGCTTACTTCCGATCTGTCTATCTGATCTGGCAGAAGAAGCATATAAATACCCCCAGTCTCGCCGTGAAGGTCATTTCCTCCGTCATCTTCCCCGCTCTGCCTTTCACTACCAACAACTTTAGGAGCTTCTAAACTTGGAACGTGAAGGTCATAATAAGCAGCACTATATGAATAAACCAATATTAATACAAAGGTCTGACGACCCAAGGGAGCAGAACAAAGACAAAACACCAATAGGAAAGATGAAGCGATCTGGTTGAGCCCAGATTCTTTCTACTCCTACTGTATTTCAGTCTCACCACTTTTCTTCAACCCCAAATAATCTTCTTTCACCTCATAACTAATGACTCCGTTCCGTTTGAAGGTCATTCTACTCAACGCTCTCAAACAGACAAGATCTCCTCTCAACAAGCTCCTCACCACACAGCAACTCCCGAACACTGCAGTATATATTGTGATTATCCCTTCTCACCTCCGTCCTTAGTGCAGGATCTCCAACATGTACACGTATGTATGTGAGCGTAACAAAGAGAAATTTGACAACTGGCCACATACACTACACTACAGTCTCACCCCGCCATAATGTTCATATTATAACTATTACCAATAAAGTATTTATGCAATAATAATAATAATAATAGACCCCCCCCCCGTAGGTCTACCAACCTCTGCGTGAAGAAGTATTTATTTGTGGTCTGTGAGGAAGGAAGGAAGGAAGGAAGGAAGGAAAACAACACCGAGCGACAGTTTTCATAAAGACTTTCTTCTATAAAAAGTAAATAACAAAAATAAAATATAATTTCTCACGTTGTAACAGGTATTAATAAAGAACTAAATTATATTTTATAAATATATTTAATATATTAAAATAAATACATATAGCTCAGGTAATACATTTTCAGGTTAATTATCATGGAGTGAAGATCGTAGTGGTCGTCACGACTTCATGTAGATAAACACACTTGTTGTCTAATGCAAACTTACACCTGCCTGGAGGTATACCATGACGTGTGTTGAGGTCACCTGTGGAGCATGCTTCCCATACTTCTTGATGAGGTCACAACTGTATGAGTCTATCAGTAAGGTCACATCTACCTGGTCCAGTAAGGTCACAACTAGCTGTTCCAGTAAGGTCACATCAACCTGGTACAGTAAGGTCACATCTACCTGGTCCACTTTAGGTCACACCTACCTGGTCCAGTGACATCACAAATACCTGGTCCAGTAAGGTCACAACTACCTGGTCCAGTAAGTCACTTCTACCTGGTCCAGTAAGGTCACATCTACCTGGTACAGTAAGGTCACAACTAGCTGCTCCAGTAAGGTCACATCTACCTGGTCCAGTAAGTCACTGCTACCTGGTCCAGTAAGGTCACATCTACCTGGTACAGTAAGGTCACATCTACCTGGTCCAGTAAGGTCACATCTACCTGCACTACCTGGTCCAGTAAGGTCACATCTACCTGGTCAGTAGGTCACAACCTGGTCCAGTAAGGTCACAACTACCTGGTCCAGTAAGTCACTGCTACCTGGTCCAGTAAGGTCATATCTACCTGGTACAGTAAGGTCACAACTAGCTGGTCCAGTAAGGTCACAACTAGCTGGTCCAGTAAGGTCACAACTATCTGATGTAGTAAGGTCACATCTACCTGGTCCAGTAAGGTCACAACTAGCTGGTCCAGTAAGGTCACAACTAGCTGGTCCAGTAAGGTCACAACTAGCTGGTCCAGTAAGGTCACAACTAGCTGGTCCAGTAAGGTCACAACTAGCTGGTACACATCTACCTGGTCCAGTAAGGTCACAACTGGTCCAGTAAGGTCACAACTAGCTGTCCAGTAAGGTCACAACTAGCTGGTCCAGTAAGGTCACAACTAGCTAAGTGGTCACAGGTAGCAGCCTAAGGTCACAGTTGGTCACAGTAGCACAACTAGCTGGTCCAGTAAGGTCACAACTAGCTGGTACATCAGCTGTGCCTTAATGACATCCGCTATGGTTGACGGTTATGTCACTAAGTCGTTCAGGATTAACTGTTCCAGTCTTGCTTGATGATGTCACTGGCCTTCTCAGCGATCATAACAACGGGAACATTAGTGTTGCCACTGGTGACAGCTGGCATGATAGGGGCGCCAACTACTCTCAGACCAAAGACTCCACGAACCCTGAAACAAACAAGTGGTAACATTGCTCACCAAACACTATTACCAGCCAGGTTATATAAGTCTTTATACACGGTGATAATAACCTAACATGTTTATAATATGAAGGAGTTATTCATTATGTTCAAGATGAACTTAATGATGATCTTGGTGGATATTGGCGCGAACAGATAATGGTAAAGATGGATAAAAGAACTAAATGAAAACTAAAGAAAAATCCTGCAAATAAACATTAGGAGTAGCAGAGTGAAGGAGTAAATATAATAGTAATGTTTTTAAGGAGTAATAATGTTAGTTAAAGGTACAAGTTGTCCACACTTAACATAGGTATCCTGCCAATGAGGAATATACATGCATCTCTCATGTGTTACAAGTATACATGAACCATGATAAACATTTTCTTATCCATGTTTCCATTCACCTATTATATCCATGTTTCAAGTGTTTCCACTAATGACACACACTATATGTTCTCCTGCCTAAACAACACACATTGCATTCCTCGCTTTACTTACTTCAGTTTATTGTCGACCACACTATACGGGTCAGAAGCTGGTGCCATCTTGCAGCCGCCACAGAGGTGATAGAAGGCACTGGACATGTGTCGCACATAGCAGGTCCAGTAAGCGTCGCTGCCGTACGCCTCACCTCTACACTCTGGCAGGGGCTGTTAACACGACAACATATTTAACCTCTTTCATCAGTAATAACAAATAATCTAATGCAGGAATCTGACATCTGTCTGTTATTGTCTTAAGTAATATTTGTTGTTAAATATAATGGATAGACAAGATACAACATGAGAATAAAGTACAACATTATTGAACCATGTGAGGCTGCCCTGTTTAGTGTTGACACCCAGCCATTATCACTGTATTGTACAGCCTATATATGAATCTTCCCAGCAACATCCAGTTAATGATCTTGATTGGTAATTTGTTCCGCTCATCTACAACTCTTGTTTACTAACCACATATTGCCAGTTTTACCCAATTATCTAAATATTCCTTATTCAATACTATTGTTACGACATCAGTCTTGATTTAATTGTTGAAGTACCAAAGTAATATCACCTTTATTTAACGTTATCTTCCCTTTATATACTTGGGTCATAACGCCTTTCACTCTCGTCTCTCAAGAGAATGTAAATTATGTTTTCAAAATGACTTTATGCGCTTTAACGAGACTCAAATATCCGTTCAATATTCCGGTGACAAGAAGTGAACCGCATAATTCAACTGAGGCGTCACTAACTCCTGGTACAGATGCAAGATAACGTTACAGCACTGTACTAGGGCTTCTAAATACAGACTGCAGGCTCTTCCACAACATAACTTCTTTGTCTAATAACTGCCAGGCTGCCTTCCTCACAACATAACTTCTGAACAAGTAATAACTGCCAGGCTGCCTTCCTCACAACATAACTTCTGAACAAGTAATAACTGCCTGCCTTCCTCACAACATAACTTCTGAACAAGTAATAACTGCCAGGCTGCCTTCCTCACAACATAACTTCTGAACAAGTAATAACTGCCAGGCTGCCTTCCTCACAACATAACTTCTGAACAAGTAATAACTGCCAGGCTGCCTTCCTCACAACATAACTTCTGAACAAGTAATAACTGCCAGGCTGCCTTCCTCACAACATAACTTCTGAACAAGTAATAACTGCCAGGCTGCCTTCCTCACAACATAACTTCTGAACAAGTAATAACTGCCAGGCTGCCTTCCTCACAACATAACTTCTGAACAAGTAATAACTGCCAGGCTGCCTTCCTCACAACATAACTTCTGAACAAGTAATAACTGCCAGGCACCTTCCTCACCTTACAACTTCTGGACAAGTAATAACTGCCAGGCTGCCTTCCCTCACAACATAACTTCTGAACAAGTAATAATAACTGTCAGGCTGCCTTCCTCACAACCATAACTTCTGAACAAGTAATAACTGTCCAGGCTGCCTTCCTCACAACATAACTTCCTGAACAAGTAATGTAACTGCTCAAAGACTTGCCTTCCTCACAACAACTTCTGAACAAGTAATAACTGCCAGGCTGCCTTCCTCACAACATAACTTCTGAACAAGTAATAACTGCCAGGCTGCCTTCCTCACAACATAACTTCTGAACAAGTAATAACTGCCAGGCTGCCTTCCTCACAACATAACTTCTGAACAAGTAATAACTGCCAGGCTGCCTTCCTCACAACATAACTTCTGAACAAGTAATAACTGCCAGGCTGCCTTCCTCACAACATAACTTCTGAACAAGTAATAACTGCCAGGCTGCCTTCCTCACAACATAACTTCTGAACAAGTAATAACTGCTAGGCTGCCTTCCTCACAACATAACTTCTGAACAAGTAATAACTGCCAGGCTGCCTTCCTCGCAACATAACTTTTAGTCACATATAATACATTAAACAACAAAAGGCTTTATGTTGTTACCTTATCATAAAACTTTGCATCGAGGTTGTTGACGAAGTCTGAGGTGTTGCCCAGCCTCAAGGCCAACTTTATCCCTGCAATTGAACAATAAATTATTAGAGTAAATTAATCAACAATAGAATAAGTTGAGACATGATATATTAAGGTCTACATTAATATAAATGTTATATCATCTGTCAGTTATAGAGTAAATAATGAAATGTAGTTTAGAGTTGTAATGCGAGAAAGATATATAATTAAAGCAGACATTAGTTGTAAGAGGCTCGCCATGCCTACCTTCAACAAGGGTTGTGACGTCATCAGGGTGACTGAGAAGCCTGGGGTCAATATTTGGGGCATCCTTCGGGTTGTTGGACTTGAGTGTTATACTTCCTCGACTTTTTGGTCGTAAAAGGATGGGTCTGATAGTGAAGCCATCTCGGCCATATATGTCACCCATGTAGTTCAGTAACTTCTGCAGCAACAAGTAGGTGATATATTACCAATAATTAGTTAATTAACTTGGTATAAAACATTTGTTATGAGGTTTATAAACTCCCTGCCCTCTCATACAACTCCCTGCCCTCTCATATATCTCCCTTCACATACAACTCCCTGCCCTCTCATATATCTCCCTTCACATACAACTCCCTGCCCTCTCATATCTCCCCCTTCGCATACAACTCCCTGCCCTCTCATATCCCCTTCACATGCAACTCCCTGCCCTCTCATATCTCCTTCGCATACAACTCCCTGCTCTCTCATATCTCCCCTTCACATACAACTCCTGCCCTCTCATATCTCCCCCTTCACATACAACTCCCTGCCCTCTCATATCTCCCCCTTCACATACAACTCCCTGCCCTCTCATATCTCCCCCTTCACATACAACTCCCTGCCCTCTCATATCTTCACCTTCGCATACAACTCCCTGCCCTCTCA